CACCTTATCTTTATTATTATTTTTTTCATTTAAAATAATATCTTTAGACGTGTTTCACACTCTTATATATTTTTCCTATTCTATCACCTTCAATTCCTTTTTCTCGGAATCCAACAAAATTTGATACGAACATCATAATAGTTTTATTGGCAAATATGATTTATTAAACGTAATTTTGATTTTGATTTTGAATGTTAATTTTGACATTTTAAACTAACTTTTGGTGTCGGTTGTCCATTTTAGATATTATTAAAATAAAACTCCATTTTTGATTCAATAAATAATGCTAACAAAAGATTACAACCCCACCTAAATATGAATTCCACCTATCGTTGTTATTTGATGAATATCGAGTGGAACTCGTGATGGGAAATCTAAATTGAACTTTCTTTATCAAAAGACTGATCAACATACCTACCATGATAGCAAGAACATGTTGGTTGAGACTTTTATTTCTTCTCACATGGTTGCACCGTTGATCCTCTTCACCTATCGAAATCATGTTTGAGATGTGGTAGGAGGCTCTTTCTGCAATTATGAGTGTTATTAAAGGGTGGGTTTCCCAAAGGGAACCCCAAAAGCAAATTAGACAATAAATGTAGGGAAACCTCACAGTAACAAATGGGGCAAAAAATAGCATTGACAACCCCCTCTTTCCTCTAATTGCAACTGCAAAATCATAATCCTCACCACCAAATTTGGTTCCTCTAGAATAAGCACATTTTCTTGAATACAATGTGTGGGAGCTGAAAAATAAATGTGAAATGACCTGTCCTAATGTGGGAAGGAGAATCACATTAATGCACATGGAATTATGAAGCCTGACAAAAACAAAACTAAATTAAATAGCAGAAGAAAACTAGATCATGTGTTGGGAAATGTATTGTGCAGTTTGATGAGGGAAAGGATTCGGGCAAGTAAAAAAAAAAAAAAAATATATATATATATATATATATATATATATATATATATATATATATATATAAATATAGATGCTTTCTCATTGACCATGGCTATGTTTCATTTCCCAAAATCTCTCTCACTTTCACTTTCATTGACACAGCCCCATTATTCAATTTTGGTAGTTTTTCATTTCACGGGAATTGAATTCTGATAGTGAGGTTACATGCTGCTCTGAAAAGGGAAGTGCTAGAGATAGATGTGGAGGATCGTAGAGTTAAAATGTCACATGTTTGGTTTTCATTTTTTTACAATTAGGGTTAATTTTCTTTTCTTTTTATCTAAATGAAAAAAGGTTAAAGATTGAAAAAGAATCAAGTACTCTCCAACTTTTGGGGGTCCACACAAAGATGAGTGCATGCAATTTCTCTGAAATTCACTCCTTCCAACCTAACGGTCAAATTTTTTGGTGGTCATATATAGATAGATATAAAGCTTCCCTCTTTCAAGAATCCTGAGCACAAGTAAGGTATGTTTCCAATACAAGATATAATGATAGCTCAACACACAGAGACCCATTTCAGCAAAAACCATTCCTCAAGTTTGATACATGCACCCCACTTCATCATATAATGCATTTTTTAGTAATTCAATTCTTAAGTATGTGAAAGGTTTTTTCTTTTTATTGAAAATATAAACTTTGTTTGATTGTTCAAAGATGTTTTTAGTTCAAGATAAAAAGATGCATATACATACATATATATATATACATCACCATCAAGGAAAAAAAAGAGAAAACTTGGAAAACCCAAAAGAAAACAAAAGAAAAAGAAAGTGTTCTTTCAGTTCCACTTTGTCATGCAGAAGATCCTCCCTCATTAATTATGAGCCTTTGTTTTCTCTTCCTCTCTCACACACACTTGACTGACAGAGAGAAAGTGAGAGATAGAAGCTTGACATGTTCAAAGATTATAGTTTTATATATGCTTTGTATTGTGGAGGTGATAAATGAGATTCCCAAATACAGAAAAGAAAGACATGGAGAGAGAAAGAAGGAGATTCTCTCAATGCAAGAATTGGAATCAAGGAGGGTGGAGATCACATATAGAATATGAAAAAAAAAAACTTTAGGTTGAATGGAGAAAAAGAGAAAAAAAAAATCCATATTAAAGAAACCATTTTTCACAAGTCAAGATGCAAACGATTTTCCCTTGAGAGAAGGGCAAGCACAAACACACATGATATACCCTCTTGTATAATCAATCCATCATATTCCACTAAAGTAGCAATTACTAATCAAAATGTAGTTATGTTTGTGACCCCTTTTTTTCTCCCCCAACTTTTGATTACTTTTCTTTTCCTTGGTGGTTAAAATCAAGTAGGGTCAATGTGGTTGGGAGTATATATGTGCAATAATGGAGCTACAATGAAAGAGAAATTTTGCGAAGAGAGTTGACAAGGTGGAATCAATCTAGCAGCTACTTCTCATCTACTCATCTTGCAAAGGGATTCTTTTTCTGTCCAATTCATCTCACTTTTTCAAGAAACTTGATAAGGTTACCATTTGTTTAAAAAACCTCAAATTCTTGGTTAATTAATTGGGTTATGTTTAAATTCAATGTTCTCTTACTTTCCGTCTTATTAATGCCTAGGGCCATACCATACTATACCATGCATGTACAATAAAATTAAAAGAAAACAAAAAAAAAAAAAGTTATAATTTTTATAATTTGAAATCATGGGAAAAGATGGTCCTCCTCCATATGCAATAATAATTTCTTTTTTCTGCCAAGATCCTGATGTAATAATTCATGTTACTTCATCATCACGTCCCATTCGTTTCCATTATTCATAATAATATAACCAAATTCATGTCCCTGTCTCTCTTTTCTGCACATTTTCTAATCCAACATTCAGCAATAGAGAATATCGATAACTATAAAAAAAAATGGCCAATTTGCCATGTTTCAACAATGCATTGTTTCTCTGTCTGTACGGCATGCCTGCCTTTTGCAGCTTACTTTTTACTTTCAAATTAGGTTAAGGTTTTAGTATTTTTTTTATATTTATTTTCTCAAATATTTAAATAATTTTTTAATTATATTATCATGATTAAAGTTACGTCATAAAACTAATTAATAATACGTAAAATAGTTTAATAAATATTTAAATAATACCATATAATATGAGATCAATAAAGTAAGATTTTTAATATTATTCTCTAATAAAATCTACATACTAAACAAAAAATATTTTAAAAATAATCTTTTACTCTAATATAACAATAAACAGTATTTTTGATTTATAATAAAATAATAACTTTTGATAAGACACGAAAAGAAGTTAATCTTTTACTCTAATATCATACAACTAATTGGGAATACTTCTTAACATGATATCTATATTTAATCATGTCGATCACTTTATAGATTTTCATAAAATTATTTATCCATTTAATTAATCCAAATCATACTAAATTTTGCATGTAAAACTATATCAACTTGGAGAATCTTAGTTGGCACTGCCATTAATTTAGTTTCTTTTGAATTTTTTTAATATTGATCTGGGAATTTTTTTTATGCTTACTCCATGGCACTTGCAGAAGGAATTCATTTTTTTATTTTAAATTATTTTGTGTCTCCTAAAAGTAAGCTAGCATGTCCAAGGTTTGAATATATAAAAAATTATAAAACGTGTTGAAGTGAAGAACATGCTACAAAAATAAATCTACAACAACATTGTATGCTTTTATTGTGTTTGACATGATAACACGAAATAATCACAATTAAAGCATATATGAAGATAAACTATTTTAGACAAACTACATCTCCATGTGTCGTTGCAATGATATATTTCCCAAGTGATGAAAAACTAAAGTTTATATTTTCTTTTTCATTTTCATTTATATTTATAATTAACAAGTTAGGATAATATTAAAAACTTGTTTTCTTATTATTAAACATGAAAGTTTTGGGACATAAAAATAATAATTCTTGATTATTATATTTTCCTTTTTTTAATTTATGAAGTAGCATCAAGTTTTCATAATTATCCCATATTAAGTATATTCAGTTTATATTCAATGCTTTATTATTTTTTTAATATTAAGAGCATAAAAATAAAGAAATCACATGTGTATTAAAGCGATATCTGCCATAAAGTGGGCAAAAAGTGTATTTAAATCTCATATTGAGATTCTACCAAAAGAAAATATCATATATATTGATTCAGATGGAGAGAAATAATCAATTTATATAAGATAATTAATCCGTTTAGCTTTTTTGTTTTTGGGTAATATTTTATTAATATATTTATTGGGTTTCTGTGTTTCTCATTTGTGATTAAAGATGTTCAATATCTCAAAATATAAATTGTATTTATTATTAAAAATTAAGAATTGTTTTAATTTTTTAAGCATCAACAAGCCTCGAATTTATAATCTTATAACCTCTAAGGAGTAACAAACTTATATATGCTAGTATTTTATGTTTTCATTTTTAAAGTAATGCATGAACTTTGACAATATTCTTCTATACACTACAAAAAGAAAAAGGCACCTTACTCAAACATTAATGAGATAAATTACTTCCCAAAAAATTCTATACCTTAAATAAAATAAAAACGCAATTTTTATATAAAATTTGCACTTAACACTATTCAAAGAATGTATCATTTCTCTTTCATTTATTTCCACTACTTCTTCAAAGAAAAGTTTAACGTGTTCTTCTTTTTCCTTTAGGGTTAAACCTTAGGAACTAAGTTTGTTCAAATTTTTATAATTTTTTTTTTGGAACTCTTATTGATAAGTAATGAAGATGAAAATATTATGAATTTGTGAATATTAATGGCATAAAGAGACATGATAGGTGGTGAACATGTCTATATATGATGATGGGAAAGTTTCATGGAAAAGTGACAACGTAATACACGCAACCACGTATGGAAGCTAGCTAAACAATAATGGACTCGACAAATCCATGTCTATCCACAACTTCGAAATTCTTGCCATGAATAGGTGCATGTGGACAAAGTGTTAGATTCAGAAAATGCACAATACATCAAAGCATGCCAATCTCCAATTAATTAGACTTCACTAGAAGCTAGGGTTTGAAGGAAATTTCAATGGAAGAAAACCTACGCATTCAAAAAAGTAAAAAGATAAAGTCGACCACATGACAAATTTGATATCCTCACAAAAGTTCAACATTAATTATTAGTAGTTAATGCATGCCCTCTTTTCCCCTTTTCATATACCAAAAAGATGTGTTATCACTTTGATTTTTCAATTTTGTCGCATTTTTTAAGTCCATCGAAATATCTCGTCCATGTTCAATGCATTGTTTATTTCTTTTCATCAAAATTAAACTTTGAAATTTTGTCGCGTTTATTATTCGGACGCATCACAATTTTGAACCAACAAACTTAAAAGAGAAACTATATTAGAAAAAAAAAATTCTAATTTGTTTCGTAAAAAAGTTCTAGATCCAATTTCAAATTTCTTCAATATCTTTTTAATTGTCTATTTCAGAAGAAAATTTTGCCTTTTTTATTGTTATTTTAAAATTGAATGTTATCAGAAGCATCACCTCCCCACCATAATTATACCCTTATGTTGCTTCATTCTATGCATATACTCCTAAATAAGTGTTGGAGTAATAAATGAAGATAGAAAAGTATTGATAGGAATAAATATTAAAGTAATAAATGACGATAAATTAATAAATAAGAGAGATACACAAAGGTACGATGAAAATTACGTTCATAAGTTAGAAAAAATAGATTTATGATATCGTAATTACCAAAACGTTATTTTTAATTATTTTATAAAAAGATAAAAGAGAAAGACTATATATTTTTTAGAATAAATATTAATAATAAATGAATTATAAATCAATTACTTCCCGTGTTTTATGTTTTAACCATATATATATATATATATATATATATGTTTTTTAATTGAAATACGATTTTAATTAACCTCTTTTAGTTGATAAATAATTATTCTTAAATATGGATAATTAGGTAAAACTAAGAGTAGTTAATATGTTAATTTTTGAGAGGAGTAGAAAGTTAAAAATTAGGTAAAAATAAGAGTGGTTAATATTTTAATTTTTGAGAGGAGTAGAAAGTTAAAAAAAGAAAACATAAATGTGGTGAAGCGTAAGGAAACAAGGAGAGTTGAAAGTTTGAAGGAGTGTGATAATAGGACGAAGAGGAAAGGAGTGTGGACCATAACGGACCCAGAAAAAGAGGACACGTGGCGGAGATCGGTGGAAGGGCACACATAACATAACACGCAACAGAGCACAAGTTTCCCATGCCAGCACCGTGACTCAACCAACGAAACAAACAAGAACCATTTTCCTGAGAAAAAGCAAAGGAAACTGCCAAAAAGCCCTTCCTCTTCTACCGAGTACACCGTACTCCTATGCTCTCTGCCCCGGGTCCCACGCCCCCTTCCACGCTGGCACCTCGCACGTGCCCGCTTCCGTTGTTCCCCCACGACCCTGCCACACACGTGTCCCCCGACCCCATCACCTTCACCTTGTTCTTCCTTCCACCAACACAACACCCAAAAAACACTTGAAAAAATAAAAATCAACACAGCAACACCCTTCAAGAGTCGTTATATTCTGCCTACGTGGCACCGTCTAGTCGGCAGGTATTACCTGGCATTTACTTTTTATTTTTACCATCTTTTTAATTTAACTATTGGGTAATAATAATAAAATTACAAAATGACCCTTTCAGCCTGCCACATCAAATATCTCTTTCTGCCTCTCTGGTCTAGCTGCTCCGGATTATATTATATTATATAGACAAAAAGATCTCTCTCACTCCACCCATTCAACAAACAAACACTATCTTTACTCTTTTCTCTTTTTTTTTAATTTATAATTTATTAGTCTAACGTTTGGTCACATTTAATATTTACTAATAATATAATAATAAATATAGTAATTAATAATGTGTGGACCGGGAAACCCCAAATAAACCCCACCATCCAGCCTTGCCACATCTATTTGCATGCCATTCTCTCTTCCCTTTCCTTCCACACTTCTATTCTTCCTCCTTCCCCCTCTCCTCTCTTCTCTTCCTCCTCAACCATTCCCAACAAGAAGAATCACGCCATTATCACTCACATAAGAGAAATACGATCAATACAACACTCACCGTCTCAAACACGTCAATCTCAGATTTAGTACCTTCTTCATGGCCGTTGAGGCGCGCCATTTCAATCTCTTCCCTTCTCCTCTCATAACCAACCGGTATATATTCATTTACCTTTTTCTTTGTTTTCTTATTTTTTCCTCTTTTTCTCTTCTCACCTTTTCTTATTCCCTCTTACATGAGTTATATGTGACATTTTTTATGTGGATGGGCAGCCAAGTGGTGAATTCTGTGGATGCGAATATCAACATGTATAACGCACAGCAGATTGGTTATTCTTCGTTTCTGCCGTTATCTGGCGCCGTCACGGAACCGGTGCTTCCTTCGTCGGTGTACAATTCGCTCGGAAACGCTGGCAAATCTGAGAGCGGTTTGACCTATAACAACAGCGTTGTTGTTCCACCGATGTCTAGAAAGCGTTCCAGAGAGAATTACAGCTACAATGACTCCTTCTCTTTTCTCGGCCAAGACGTTTCTCTTCAGATCCAACAGCAGCAACTCGACATCGAGCATTTAATCATGCAACGCGTAAGCTTCAATCATTCGTTTGTAATTTCATTTATCCATCTGTTTCTGTTTAATTTCGTGTGCTGTTATTCCGTATGAATTTGAGGTTCTGATTCTCTTACGTTTGATGTCTTCAGATGGAGAAGGTTAGAATAGAGATTGATGAGAAGCGGAAGAGGCAAGCGAGGAGGATAATCGAGGCGATTGAGATCGGCGTGATGAAGAAACTGAAGGCGAAGGAGGAGGAGATAGAGAAAATCGGGAAGCTAAATTGGGCGCTGGAAGAGAGAGTGAAGTCTCTGTGCATGGAGAATCAGATTTGGCGTGACCTCGCGCAAACGAACGAAGCCACGGCGAATGCTCTGCGGTGTAATCTGGAGCAAGTGCTGGCGCAGCGTGGCGGAATGGGGGAAGATGGCGCCGGCGCCGGCGCTGATTTAATGGACGACGCTCAGTCTTGCTGCGGGAGCACCGGCGAAGACGGTGAAGAGGAGAAAGAGGTGGGGTGGCGCACAATAGCAGCGGGGTGCGCAGGGGTGAAGGATAAGGAGGAAGGTGGTTGTGGGAAAATGATGAGTGGTGAGAGTAATGGGCGGTTGTGCAGGAACTGTGGAAAAGAAGAGTCGTGCGTGCTGATTTTGCCGTGCCGGCACCTGTGTTTGTGTACTGTGTGTGGGTCTACACTCCACATTTGTCCTATATGTAAATCCTTCAAGACTGCTAGTGTCCATGTTAACATGTCCTAAATTTGGAAAAGAAAAAATAGGACTATAGACTAGGACCCTAATGCCATCATCAATCCTCCTCCTCATCTCAATCTCAAAAAAAAACATATATATCAATTTTTCATAAATTAGAAAAATGGTAAAAGAAAAAAACAAGTTCATTTTGATCTAAATATCTCCATTCTTTTGTTCACTTGCTATGTCTCGTTCTTTTCCCTTGTTTTGTGCACAGTGGTACCTGTGAATTTACAAAGCTTGCATTTGGTTCTATTTGATTCAAAATAGAGTCTAGTGCAATTGGATCGCCAATTTCATTCCATCTAATTTGCATTTAGAGTTATTTAAATTAAATTATACAGATTTGTTAATGTCAATGCTATTTAACTGAGAAAAGTTCTTTATTATGTATCCGAGTTACATTTTTGTGAAGTAGAATCGAAGGGAAGAATAAGAACGGGGAAAGAAAGTGGGGCCCCACAGTGCATGTACTAGATAATTTGGCGGATAGAGAAAGTAGATGCGCGTGGGGGAGTGGGCGCGTGAAGTCAACGAGGTGGGGACAGAAAGTGACATTAGTGCGGCAAAAGCTGACACGTAGGACGCTCGTAAATGTCGCTGTTATTTGAAGAGTGCCTGCAACGGCCATTTTCTTAGAACTCAGGCTTTGGACCAAAGGCCAATACACACTGACCTGACACGGTAACCTGTGGTTCCCAACACCCGCCAAAAAATAATTTTTTTATTTATTTTAAATCTATTAAGTTTTAATTTTTTTAATGAAAATTAGGGAAGCGTCCAAAATGGGTAGAGAGAGAAAAAGGTGTTGGGAAGGTGACATCGACAGCAATTTTTTATTTGATGATGCAATTATTTCATTTTATTTTAATAATTTTGGGAGTAAAAAAGAAGGTTATTGGGTTGAGCGAGGGCGATACGGTACTTACTGTGTGACTCTAGCTGGCTGCTCCAACTCAATCTCTCTCGTCACTGTTAAAAATAGGGACTAGAGCTACCAACCAGTACAGTACCTACCCCAATTATATTCCCCTTTGTGTCAATCCCACTCCAATATTATTAAATAAAATATTTTTTCTAGGCTTATTTCATCAAAAGTAAATATTAAAAAAAATGATATCAGGATTTGGACAATACAGGGAGGATTCTGATTTTCTGCGTGATGAAAAAGTAGTGGGGATAGAAGAATTAATGAGATCAGATCAATAACTTTTTAATATAAACTCTTGATATTTCTCTTTATTGATTTCTTGATTTTTTCACACTTTCTACATTCCTCTTTCTCCTCTTAATTTCTTCCTATATTTAATCTTTCAGTTAACTGTGAAGCTATTTTCAATGTATTAATCTATTCTTGTTACCAAATTAAATAACACTAACCAATTTTCATAATCAGCCTAAATATATATTTTTTTGAATCCAAAATATAACTAAATAAAAAACATTAATAAATTGTTTGTTAGGGTAAAAACAAGAAAATAGATAAAAAAAAACAATAATAGTAATTTATGTTTTTAATTACTTATAAGAAAAATTTAGGCTTACCAATGTGAGTAGGGTCGTCCTTTGACTAATAATGGTTGGTGCAGTGAGATTTGTAGAGGGAAGAAGGAGGTGGGTTAAAAATAGAAACCCCTCTTCTCTGGCATTAATATTGCTGTTTTTGTTTCGTTGAATGGACGCAGTGTGTGCCATCCCATGCTCTGTTCGTGAATGATGAATGTCCTTTTCGGAGTGGATTGCTACCATTTTCAGTATTTTTTTTCTTCATTCCCTCGAATCCACCGAAAATCAATAATGGTAACAGGGAGGGAAACGTGGCTCCAGCCGCATGTGATCGCCACGTGACTCCTCCTCAATTCTTCCTTACTTTCATTTCTGTTTGGTTTATGTCAATCATCACCATTGGACCTCTCTTGGGACACCACGCAAATGTCATTAATATCTTTTATCACAAAAATCTCAACATAATAAAAATATAACTATAAATTATTTTATTGAAAAACAAACAATATTTATTATAAATATTAAAGAAAGAAATTATAACTTTATTATGTCTTCTTTCTACGTTATTTTGTACACTTAAGGATATGAATAACATATTTTGTCCAAAGAATAAAAATTTTAATAAAATTAATTCAGATAATGATATATTATAACACACAAATAAATAAATTTTATTTAGATATATATTTGGTACATTTGTTAAACTACAATGATGATAAATAATATTGTACTTTGAACCAAATTTTAAAATTTAAGAGAATCAAATGAATTGATGAATAATTGTGAGAGAGTTTTGAAATAAATATTATTTAGTTATGGATTATTATTTTAATGTTTACTTTATTAAAATAATTAAATTATTTTATATATTATAATACATTTTTTAATTAAATCAATAACCATAAAAACATAATAAATATATAATCGTAAATAATTTTTTTATATTTTTTCTCAAATTAATACTAATAAATTTATAAATATCATCAAAGACATAAACAAATGTGTTGAACCGATTCTGGTTTAAATAATTGTATAACAATTTAAATTTATATTACAAATAATATATATTGTTAGCATGATTATTCCTTTTTCATCATATTTGATACCAATTATGATTTATAAAAGTGAGAGTTAAAAAATATATATATATATATATAAAGTGTTATGTTTTTACTTTTTATATGAATTGAGATTATTGTAAAATTACTGATATAATAATTAGTATACAAGAATTTGTGTTTAATATTAGAGTCCGTTAATATATTTTAATTGAATTAATAAGCGGTTTTTTAGTTCAATTTTAAAAATTATAAATAAAGAAATTTAATTATTTGATTTTTACTTTAGAAAAATTTAAATTGAATATATTTATCATCATTGAAAAATACGTATAATTTGTAGTTAATCTCTTAAAATATCAAAATATAAAATTAATTCTTTAATTTAAGTTTTACCATTTAATTTAGTTTTTTTTTATATGTATTATATAATGATATCTTTTTTTTCTAAGTGATTGTTATGTCATGATATCTTTTGAAAAATTTAGATTGAATATCGTTTTAAGTTATTAAAAATGCACGCAAGTTTTTTTACTCTTTAAAAAGATCAAAATTAGTATATCAATTTCTTCTAATATTTAAGTTAGTCATTAAAATGAATAAAGTTAATTAGAAATATTAGAGTGTTGATATGATATGACAAGTGTTATTCTATCAATCGTAACATTTCTTTTTATGCCATTATATCATAGAGATATGAATGTAATTTAGGAATAATAAGTTTTATTTTTTTAAAGATTATGTTTTCATAAATTTAAGAAAATTAAAGTTTATTTAACCAAGAAAATAAAATTACATATATTTATTTATATAATATTCAAATTTTTATTTTGGGAGCTCCTCACTCAAACCACTAACTAAAGCTTAAGTAGTTAACTAAAGAAAGAGTTTGAGTTTTTATTTTTTATTAATATGGTTTCAATATTTTTAATGAATCCATATATGGAAATAAAAAGATTAGCATAATATAGTAAAAAGATTAGCTTTACATTAATTATAATTTTATAAGATATGAGTAGGAGCCGAAAAGTTATTTAGGTGTATATTTTATTAAAAAAAATTGAATTTTAATGGAAACATTTGTAGGATGTAATGTTAAGTTTTTTTAGGAAAAAAAAATTAGAATGAAAAATAATAAAAAAAATCTCTTATTTAATAATTAGTAAAATAAAATAAAAATATGTCACTAAATATTTATTTTCTTTTTTCACATCTTTCTTTTGAACTGTTCTTAAGTTTGAATTAACGGGTAATATGCATTCGGTGAGTGGGAAAACATCACATGACGAAGACTACATCACCAACCTCTTCTCTGTCATTATGTGCCTTTCTCATTTCCAATCATAAATTAACATTCAAACTTTAATAGATATTTTTTAAATTATATATATATATATATATATATATATATATATATATATATATATTTTAAATTTATTAAGATACGATCTTATATATTATAAATTCTATGTCACTTAAAAATAAAGATCAATACTCCCCTTTTAATCTACCATTAAAACCATAACATTTTCGTTTTTTAAATGATATATAATCCATTTTTAATGAATTTTTTTATTTCTAATAAATATTATTGACGTGATTAAATAGTAAGAATTAAAATTGTGAATTAAAAAAATATGAAAATCAGAAATGAATTTAAATTGAATATTGGAATTAGGTAATAGAAACTAGAAAGTAGAGGTAGTAAATAAAAAAAGAAAAATAAAAATGAAAATGATGTTTGTTGATTTGATGCAGTTGGGGGACAGAGTCCTTGGGGAGGACCCCACGTAGGGTAGGTACAAACGCCAAAGGTAGCATTTAGTGACGAGTCCCTAACAAGGACAACACTAAAATAATGGACAGATTTATTTTTTGTAGGATGGGATCTTTTGGGCCTCTTGTGGGCCCCCACTCGATTAGGACCATCTGTCCCTTTGTGACCGGCAGCTTCCCCAAACACGTGAATCTGATTCCCTCTCATCACCCCTTTAATCTCCAATTTTTTAATTCTATAAATTTTGATAAAAAATAAATAAATAAAAGTGATTGAGTTTTATACGACTAATTATTAATACGAGAATATTTATTATTATTATTATTATTTTTATCATTGCAATACATTCTGTTACGGCACATGAGTCTGAAAATTTCATATTGTTCAAAACATGAACACGTCTATTTAAAAATGTTGAATGATAATAATATTAATGATAAAAAGAATCTATTGAAATTTAGACCATACGTGATGCAGAAATATGATTCTTTGGCCTGAATTTGATTGAAATTTAAAGAATTGAATGGTTTTAGATAATTGATGGAGAACGAATGAAATTGACTAATTTTTGTTCTTCAATTGGGTCACCTCTCGCTACGCTTAGACAACAATTTATTTGACTAATTATTATGCATTTAGCAATGGATATGGTGAGACCCAAAACGTATGATCTAGAAAATTTTCTATTTCCCATCAATTTGCCGTGTTGAATTTGATTGCCCGTTAGGAATCTTGTTATGTTAGATATCATATGTTCTTGGTGGTGCTTGTTTTCTCCTCCCCTCATATTTTCTATTGCCATCTCCAACTATTTGTACTTTGAAATTGAGAGGTCCTTGTCTTACTATGTCATGTGCTTGTCTTCTAATTGCTTACAAAGGGAGTACTCAAATATAACTATTTGTCATTATTGATTCATTTTTAGGGTAGATTGTAACCATGCCCACCACCATCTTCCAAACATCACTATGAATAATGCAAAATTTGGTTACAATGAACTTTGATTTTGATGTCATTTTAAAACTGTTCACAAGGGTTGCTTACTTGAGAACTATTCTTGATTTGACTTCAACATGATGGAAACATTTGCTTCTAAGTTCCATTGTTTTAAAACATAAACATGGTCTAAATTAAATAAGGTAGAGAAAGGCGAACAATTTTAGTTGATTGGGAGAATTGAAATGCGGGTTGTGATTGAGAAGGACGAGTTTTTAATCAATTGTCAACCTACTCAGAAAATCAATTATAAGCATAATCTGTTTATGGTGCGTCCACATTGATGAGTGTGTGTGGTGGAGTCCTTGGCATACTATGTATCAGTATCACACAAGTTTGAATTGATGGTGATGGTGCGAGGTAGGAAGAAGATATGATTAACTTAAAAAATAAAAATGAAACCATGTTAGAGAGAGCTTAAAGAAATGGGTAACCCTGTTTAAAATGATGTCTTGGAAGATAATTTGATTTGAGATTGTGATGAAGGGTGGAGTGGTGCATTGCACATAGGAATGAATGAATGAATGAATGAATGAATACCCCTACTCATACTTTTCCAAGCTTTGAAATGCCTTTACGCAAATAATCAAACATTGAACCAATCAAAGACACCCCATAAATCAATTGTGGCTGAATAATATTATTATTGCCTAAGGGAAAGGCAAACCAACAAACACTAAACCACAGTGCCCCATGTCTCCTTTTGGAGACAAAGACGTGTGAATAAACTAACCCACTTTCATTGCTTTGGTCCCTCTTGTGCATACAATCACACATCCATTTTTTGTGGGGTCAAAACCTTTCTTCTCCATTTTCATCACTAAATTACTCATTAAACATATCTTCACAGCCACCCATATGTGAATAGTTAATAATGAAATTCAAAACCATAATTGGAGATATATAAATATATATATATATATATTAGTATGAAACATTCATTAATCTCATATGGCTTAAGAATTGAGATTAAAGATAATATATATCCTTTTTTTAATCCACCAAACTATATTTTAAAGATAAAAATGTAAAAAATAAGAATTTTAAAACGAATAATACTTCATACGTAAAAATTGATCATAATAATATTATAATATTATCATAACAGATATGAGGTGGAGAGGTGAGAATTCACTTCATAACTCATTTTAGAGTATATTATTCTTTTGTTTAAAAATTAATTTAAACATGAAAATGTCTCTTGTATATAATTTCTGTACTTTTTCGAAGGAAAAAACTAACAGAGACTTGACGTGTACTGCCAATCACCTTCAGCTCAGTATGAACATGTATGTATGTATGTATTCTTTAGGGGCTAAGGAGATTGGAAATCCTGGTAAGTATCGAGGCCGATGCCAAGTTGCTTTCTTTGATTATCTTGGTCAAGAATGTGTAGACGTGGTGCAAAAGGGTTAGAATTGTGTGTGACATAGGTTGTCCATATCGGTGATATACATATTCCAAAATTTCAGTTGGGGGTTGGGTGGGCCTGCTCCAAGTATTAGGACAGTACAAAGCATAGAATATGGATGTAAATAAAGAAAGCATGAGGGGGTCCATGATGCCTAACCTAACTTTCTTCCCTTGTGAAAGGGGGCACTCATGTACTACTCCATCATCATACAATTGATTTTGTTGCTTCCTTTTGTTCTATCTTAACACATGTTTTCTTCTTTAATGAAGAGGGTCCCCCTACTATTACTACTACTACTACTACTCTCCCATATCACAACTCACACTTGGGTAAGATAGAATTCAAATGAAGCCGGCTCCTAAAGTGGCATATCCAATTCTCTTCTTCACACACAACAATTGTGAATCTCAAAGTCTAAAGGTGCCACTTTGAAAGGCATTTAGAAATCCAAAGCATGAAATTCTTACTTGATCCTCAATCACCAATGAATGACATGTTGTTGCTATTGAGGTCGGCCTAACTTTTAAAAATAACATTTATTTCTGAAATTAATGTGGATGGTCATACTCAATAGTCATTATCCAAACCCTGCTTCTCTTTCCTTTGATTCCTTTTCTTTACAAAAGAGAAAAAGAAAAATGTTATTTAAAGTAGGCAAAGCTTGGACATGCAACATTGTCAATTCCCTCTATTTTACTATTTTTTATTGCTCTCTTATGATTGGTATTTGGTTTGAGATGGTGCTTATTGGGAAGTGCCTATACACCTTTTATCTTTCTACAATTCTCTTATTCCGAATTCACTTTGTAAGGGTGATGGGGTGACATAAATATAATTTTCAAAATGGACATGGTGGGCCAAGATAAGCAATTAAGAATCAATGAAAGAAAGAGGCGTATACCATTCACCTACAAATCCATAATCATATCTCACATAATGAAAATTTCTCTACTAGGGAATTTGAATGACCTGCCATGAGGCTACTTTTTACAAGGGATGGATGGATTTGGTGCGATAGGAGGAGTAAGGCTAAAGATAAGGACATTATTTATTGCATTTTTTAATGGAGAAGCCCCTCCTCTCCCACTATGGATGAAACATGGAAAAGAGAAGGCTAAAAGAACATGAGAATAAAAAAGGAGGAACATTGTTAACTATTGTTTTCCTCTCACCTTTGGACACAATATATTGGAGTGTGCCAGTGTAAACATCAACTCCCTCCACTAAAATAATATCCATGTGCCAACACCACCTAGGCTTACTCATCCCATTAATTGTTTCTTGGAGTTTGTGGTCACAACCCCAACTCCCCCCATCTTGGGTAAAATGATTATGCCTTTGCCATCCTTCCTCTTTCTTTTCAGTGGGGACTTCGTCCAAAAGTGTTAATAGGTCCTTCTTGTCTACATTAGCCACACCTCTAAAACCTTTGCTTCTGATATGTGGCCACTCATTATATCTAGTGTCATATAGATAGGATTTTCTATGTGGATGATGGATAGTGTGTGTGTGTGTGTGTAGTGGGATGGGATTGGAATAACCATGTCATAAAATATTTTATCACACCAATCAAGACCAAGGTTGACATAGATGTATGTACTATGTAACCCAAACCCACTTTAAAAAAGATGCATTTAGCAAATTAAAAACTTCAAAATATTTCTTCTTTTTCAAAGTCCTACATGGAGTCATGAGCAATTGAGATTGACATCACAAGAGATTCGACCAGCTATCACTTTTGGACCGAATATATAAGGAAAAAAAATATTTGGGATTATCATCAATTTGAGAGAGTGCATCAGATTGTGCTGTCCATGATTCTTCTTGTGAAGGAGGAAGATCAGGCCCACACTCATAATGGACCGTAAGTTTTTGTTGCAGGAATTGACATTCCATTTTCATAATCCTGCCAGATTCCCCTTCTGGGTTTTCTACAATCACTCAAGATTCTGTTTTCTTCCTTTAGTTTTTCAGGGATGAAATAAACAATACAAAAGATGAGAAAAAAAGAAAAGAAAAAAGAAACAAAACATAATCGAGGCATGAGGTTTTTTACATTATTATTCTAGTCAAATAAAAGGTACACCATCAGTTTTACCTTTTCCCCCTCCCATGCTTTTTAAAGAAGGTAATAGTGTTTTCACACTTAAGCATTGTCCCCCTCAATGTTTTTTCCACTATTAGCATGTCCAATCAATTCATAATTCAGTAGTTTAGTGGAGGATCAATGGAAAGATCAGAAGATTGCGTCAAATTCAATATCACATCCATTCAAATCAGAGTTTGATGGCAGGCACACATACATACTATTCCCACTGCCTGTAGTCTAAAATGGTAACAACATGTTTCATGTTCCTATTCTATCTTAACAGCAATATGGAAGTAGGCTCTTAAGTTTTGATCTTGGTAATATTTGTTTTGTTTTTTTTCTTGAGTTGGTACTAGTGGGGTGTGCCCTACAACACGGGATAGATAGTATGTCACAATTATGTAATATAGTAACATAGTAACTCAAGGACTAGCATACTTCATCTTGGAATTGTCTTCTAGCTATTCCCATTGTATTTTCAATTTCCATCACTTTTACACACTCACCACACATAATTGAGGTCTTGTCTATCATCTACCCACTTGCCACTTGCCACTTGAAGCTTCTAATGATACTGCACAACCTAAAACGTTATGGTTTTATTGTACTTGCATATGAAAAAAACAAATAGGGCCATCTTCAACAAAAGGAGGACAGGTGTGAATTAATATGTGTTGGGCCTCAATCACACTATCATCCACTTCAATGGCAATAACAATCTCACATATTTGATGAAGCAATGTTCCTGTTTTAATAATATCTCACTCTTTTAGCCTTATAATGGAATAACAGATGGGGACTGCACAACTTAGACTTGTCCCCACCTTGTCATCACACAATATATTGTGTAATATGAGGCTAACACTCCCCATGTGCTTATCATTCATTGATGTTATACTGCTATGAGATATCCCAGAAATTAATAATGAAATAACACACCTTCAATTAATAACTCTTGGCCTCTTCTTCAATACAATAATTTATTATTCTCACAAACTGAGACAACAGATATAGTAAAGGCTATAGAAAGCTCTTTCTAAATCTACCGTCCAAAATATAACATGAACACAAATTGGAAAAAGAATTAATTCTCAGAGAAAAGTGTGGATGAGATGGAAACTCCCCCACTAACTCTTATTCAAGATGATCATGAACTTTGAATTCATGAGTGCTAGCTAATGTACATGATGTAACAATATTCTTGTATATATCTCAACTAAAATCTAAAGATAATCGTAAATAATCACACACCTTAAAATGATGAGTGATGAGAAGATTGCAGTAAAATACAAAAGTCGGTGTTCAATTAGTGATGCACAATGACAAATCATGGTGATGCTGAAATAGACACCCTTGTTTGATAGCAGTGTGTAACGAAAACATGGATATGCATGTGAAGCACAAAAGGGTGTGCCACAGACAGACATAATGCACACGTCAATGCAACCAGACAGGAGATAACGTCGAAATGAGTGTCTTTTATTAGTTACAGATCCTAGTGGTTTGCATGCTTTGAAACGAAAATGACTTATATATGAATAGGGCCACTTATAATTAATGCATTATGTGCAATCCTAGAAAAGTGGATTTTGATATTTCAATTTCATTCTAACTGTTAGAATACAGTATCTCATTCTCAAATATTAAAAATAAACCACTCTTTACTCCTTCATAATACAGTATATATATTCTTATACTAATCTGTAAAACCTAAGAAACTGTACACCAAAATCATCATAATTAGTTTATGAACCTGTATAAAATATCTGGTTTACTTGAAGAAAATCGTTTTTTGTCAATGGATTTTTTTGGATTTGAGAATTGTGTAAGATTGAGTGACATTAGGGAAGGCAAAAATTCTATTCCTGTTGAAAAATCAAGGGCTAATATGAATCACATTATTTATGTTTAAAGAGAGGAAAGAGTTAAAGGCCCTAATAAAGCAAGAATAGTTGATAGGACTTTGATTGAACAACATTAATATTGAGGGGCCAGTGATGTGCATGCAGGAAAAGTGAGGGAAGAAAGAAAAGCACCACTTGGATTTGTTGTTATGAGAAAATCAGAGAGTGAAGTGGAAGCTTGTTTTTGTCTTAATAACTACGTGAAACCACTCTGCACGTGTAGTACCTGACATTTTCATCAAAGGAAGAGGTTCCTGCTGCTGCTAGCTGTATCCACTTATCACCATTCATTTCAATATCTAATTAATTTCTCTCAAAGCTTTTAAGAACAAATTGTCATTTTAGGGTTTAGGGTTAGAGATATTTTTATGAAAACAAGATCTAGGACCCTGAATTTGATATTCCAACCATCAAAGTAGTTCACAAGTTAATGTAGTATCAAAATAATTTGCTTGAAAAGTCATTGGAATTAGATACATGAACTTATATATGTTTATTGACAGATTCAAGTAGGTTTAGATCAATAACAGGTTAAAACTTAAATGAGTTAGGGCATGTGAGATTATGGGTTATTGTGTATATGTTTATATATCAGTTAACAACAATTTAAAACTATTTTTATCTTTAAAGATAGTTTGTTATTGAGTTTTTCATATTTTTTCTAGTATTTTTAATATTTAATATTTTGAGTATTCATAAGATTTTGAGAAATTACAAAAGAACTCCCTTCATTTTCAAAAATTACACACCCCACCCTAAAGTTTACCAATTGTTATAAATGTCTCCCTTTACATCTTAACGTGTTAAGTATTTTAGTATATATTTTATGAAATTATTTTCCGAAAAGTCTTTGCCTTCAACCATATTGCAGGTTTTGTGAAAGGGAGAGAAACCAAACCACGACATCATGGGAAATCGCAGGTGGGTTTGATTCGTGTAACATTCGTCTTCATTGAAGGAAAGATTTCTTTATGTTTTTATTTTGCTTTAGTTTCAAGTAGCAATTATACTCTACTTGATATTCAACATTAACTTGAATAATTTTATTTCTTTGGAAAAAGAACGATTTTGAAAGTTCTTATACGTGTGTAAACATGTTTGAAAAGGAGTGAAAAAATTTTCATAACAATAGGAGCGTTTTTAATATGTATTTTTTTTTCAGCGCGTTTTTCACACGTTTCTTACAATTCTAATATTATTTCTTTGATACTCAAATATATAAAGCATAAGACTTGAACTTTTACGGTGAAAAGAGATGAGAGTGTAATAATGATGAGCCGAAAATATTTTGGACATCACTGATCAAAGTACTTTGTTATCTTACAACAAAATATAGATAACAAAATACAAAATATAAAAATGTAATTACAATAAAACTTAAATCATAGAACTAAAAAACATCCCTAATATGAATCATTTAACGATGTACAAATTCTTAAAAAGAAAAAACATGTTAGACGAGGGTTTTTCAAGAGAATAAGAAGAGAGAAGAGAGAAAATGCTTGAAAGAGTGAAAGCAAAGAGACGAAGCGATTGGGAGAATAAGAGCAAAGTGAGCTAGAGAGAAGAATGGAGAATTAGGACAAAGCGTGAGTTTGAAATTAAAAAAAAAATGACAGTTAATATAAAGAATGATAGATAAGTTGATAATTCTTTGACCTATTTAAAAAATATATCTATATATTAAAATTAAAATAAAAATATTTTAATTAACAATATTATATTTTTTATTATGTTATTGAAATATGTAAATATATTATAATCTAAATTATATAAATTAATAAATTAAATTTATATTATTAATTATTTTAACATATAGATATAATATATTTTTTTAAATTTATCTAATCAAATACAAATTAATAAATAAAAACTTAAAAATTATTTATATAATTAAATATATATTTTAAAAAAATACATATAAAAAATTATATATAAAAATAAATGATTGACAAGCTGATCCGTTAGTTTATCTTTTACGAGACAAATTGAGATTTATAATCTATTTTAACTATGATGGACTAGTTAACTTTATCCTATTTTTGACGGGTTAGAGACAAGACAAGTGAAAGCGAGATACACTAACTAATTTATCTTACAAATTTTAAATTCTTTATTTTTTTAGTGTAACTATTTTGATTCATTTTTTAAAAAATATATTTCACTTTCTTGTTAATTTCTTTATCTAAACAAGTTTTTCCCAGAATTTGAGTAGTCTTGTTGATGATCGAGACATATGTGAATAAAAAATTTGGGTGCATTCTATTCCTTCTAGTTAATGCCTCGTGGCCTTTAGTTTTCCTTTTTAATTATATATTTGTTGTCAAGTAAAATGAGGTGAGCGACAAATCATAGTACCCCAGTAGATATGCTGTTTAGGGCGAGATAGATATCTATGTATGTATGTGACCATTTTTTATGAGCTCCACTTTGGAAAGAATGGATTACTTGGTGATGGTTTAGAAGCATTCAAAAAATATATTTATGTGTGGGGTACAAATTACAGATAGCAGTATTCACAACCTAACTCATAACTCAGGTAAAGTATATCACCTCAATTGATGGCTAAGGATTTAATTTCCAAATGCTTTTGCTCCACTGAATCATAGGTCAATTCATATGCTGAGTTTAATGTAGGAATCATTACATTTTATGAAATGAGCAGAAGGGTTCAAATCAATGATAAAATTGCAAAAATTGAGGAAGATGGAATAAAGAAGCTCCTTTATTCTGTGAAGAGTAACATATCACATCAGAATACAAATTGGAAGAATTTGTATGACCACAAATCCTCCAAAGCGCAGAGAACATGCATGATTCCCTACTTCAGAGACAACTCTACAAAACTGGATTCCTTGAAACAGTTTCTTACCCCATCAATGTTCCATATATAATATTCCTAGTGAAACCTCATATAGTAATATTCTCAGGAATAGGGACTCTTATGTTGATGTTGCTCCTTTGTTCAATAGCCTCTTTTCGAATTCACACAAAGCAAAGAAAAGAAACCTCAGAAAAAAGGTCTTCGTTTCATTTGAAATTTTGACATGCTAAGTAAGTAGCCAACTAAGTTATCTCAAAGATGTTGGAACTAAATAGTCGTGCAAAAGTAACATCCTATGACAGTTGATAGATGACCTTGTTTCTTAAACATTTAACGAGGAGTTCAATCTTTGATTTATGCATGAGGAAATGTATATGTTGAGAAATGTCAATCTCATCTATCTTAACATCTTGAAAAATTAATAGTTGACTTTGGATGAAGAATACTCTGACATAGAAAAATATATACAGTTAAGCAACTTGAATAAGCTTAATAGATAAAGTGGGGTTGATTTTTCGAAATATTTATGGTTCCATCAGAGTTTGATAGATTCTGTTCATAATGCAAGACCATGATATTTCAAAAGAATCACGTCAACTCTTATGTGCAAAATCATTCAAACGTATATCATACGTTAGCAGTTGTTGCAAATCTTTTATCTGTGAAATGGTTGTTTTAATCAGTCTGACATTGCTCATTCTTCGACCTTACATATTTAGAATTCATCATTGTCTATTTGTTCAGGTGCATGTTAATGATGAGTAGCATTATTGAATCCTAATCTCAAAATCCCAAATTTGAATTCATTGAATGGACTCGTTTTTTCATCTGTTCCATTATTTAGGGAAGAATGCATTTAACATAGAGTTCATCATTTGGTGGAACCATTCATTATTGAGCTCAAATATTCTTTAGTTACTGTCATAACATGATAATCAAACGCTTTAGTACAATAATATAATTACTTTTCACAATGACTAACTATCTGTCTTAAGGGCGTGTTCATCACAATTTTACATCGAAAATTTATTCTATCATTTCAAACCACAATATGTCCATAGTTCCAACCAATATCTATGCGAAGATTAGTCATAATCATGATAATCTTTAAACATTGTCGTAACTTCTCGGATATATCAAAGCTCAAGGTTAGGAAACCATACCAATCTTCTTTATTAAGGTAAAGTAGGGTTGGCCATGGTTATGGATCCACCCACTTGAATTAAGTGGGGAAGGAATTAAAGAAGTCTACCATGATCAAAAGATGTTATGGTTGAGCAAGTCAACAGACCAAGAAAAACCCTACAAACTGAGAGAAAATGGTGCAATAATGTCAGCCAATAAGCAAGAAAAAGTAGCTGAGGTAGCTAACGCCAATTGGACGAAAAGATGTGAAAATGAAGTCCAAAGTAAGAAAGCTCTACAGCATGTTCAACCCACACTATTTGGAGCAATAAACACAGACACTAATTATATATCATGATGCTTTTACATTGTCCACACCGAAAAGTAAGCAATTTTCCATTTGGGAAGAGTTCAATCCAGACCACTGGTGCTTGTAAATAGTTCTTTTACATGTTTTCCATCCACTAGCCACGAAAAATGACCATTGCATGTGTATACAGATGTGTAAAGAGATAATACGATTTTTCTGTTGGATCAAAAGGAGTTTCAGAATGTGCATAAACAGTAGAATCCATTAATTTTAAATCATAACATAAAGGTGCAACTTGAAAATCTTGTTTTGTTCATGGACTATTCTAAAGGTTACATGTTCCTGTCAAAATGGCCTCAATGACAGGCCCATAGACACATTCTGTATTGAGAACTCTAATCAACAGTACAAAGAATGAAATCATATGAAGGGTTGGCATTGTTGATTACGTAAAATGTACTCCATTTTATTTACTTTTGCTGATTTTTTTTTTTTATGTCTTCGCTATGCATTTAGGCGCCAACCTTGTGCCGGTAGAGCCAGCACCTAAGAAAATTAATTCCCCAAAATGTATCAAATTAATATTAGCATTGATATGAGGAATGCATCTACAGTCATCATTCTCATAGATACTTAGAATAGAAGGAGAAAAAAAGTTTATCACAGGTCATTATTCAACTCTTTAATGACAAAACTTACTACATATGGGTTGTAAGACTACAATCTTACCTAGAAGGACTAAATTTAAAGGAAGTGTGGGAAGAGGATTACATTGTTTATCTAGTATTTGAAAATCACAACATAAAAAGGAAAGAAAAATAGAGAAAAGAAAAGCAAAATCATAGTTGTTTGCTGAAATTTCACAAATGATCCTCGTTAAGAATGATCCTAAAGTCATCCAAAAAAATTTGGAACCATTTAAAAGTAGAATACGAAGGAAGCAAGAAGATTTGAGACTAGAAAGTACTAAACTTAATAAAGGAATTGGAGTTACAAAGGATTGAAGACCATAAAATAATCAAAGAATAATCAAATAAATTGTTAGATATTGCTATCAAGAAAATTATTGGGTGAAAAGTTTCTTAATTTCAAACTAGTTGATAAAATTATAGACACAGTACTGAAAAGATACAAAACATCTATTACTTAGTTGAAAAAGACAAATAATCTATCTAAAATTACTTTGGCAAAGTACTACAAGCTTTGCAAGCAAAGTAGTCAAAATCTTATCTCTCAATTTAAGCTACATGGCTTATAGGCACAAGAGCAACTAATATTGATAAGAGAAGATCGTGTTGTCGAAGGTACCAGATCATATTGTTGCAGGTGCCTTCCAATCCACGAACTATAAAGGTAAAAAACAAAATCAAACAACAATACACTTTTTTTTCCTTGTCCCTATTACAAGAAAAATATCCTCTCACACAAGTGTTGGTAGTGGCCAAATGTGATATGCCACAAATATAATCAATTGGGACATGTTGAAAATAAATAAAAATCTCAACATCAACAAGAAGTTGTCAAGGTTGCAAAAGAAAAACTAGAAGAGGAACATCTCTTCACAACAACATGCTTTACAACCAATAACTCCACAAAATGTTGACCTATAAATAGTGTTTGTAGAAGCATATAACTCATTCTCGAGAACTTATTAAAGAGCTCAACAAATATTTTATTTTTAAAGTAAAAATTACAAATGAAGAATAATTGGTTGTGAAAAGTATAGGAATAATTACTATGGGAAATCAAATAGTATTTTAGGAAATAATAAATTAGGAAATTTGTATATTTTCTTGTAATATGTACAGATTTAAATAATTAGGAACAATCCAAATCAAGGGATCCCAAAATAAAATAGAGTTATTAAATTTCCTAAAATAGCTTAGGTCTCCTGTATATATCTTGTATAATCTCTTTGTATTAAAAATAATTAAATCAAATTTCATTTAATCTAATTTTCCATAATTACAATCAAAGATCATTTAGATTACAAATTAATCTTTGAGGTATTATATGTCTATGAGGTTAATAAAAATTTGTTAAGTATTTCTCAATTGTTAGAAAAATATAGTAAAGTATCTTTTTGAATACAAATTTTGTGTGTTTAGAAATGTAAACAACCTAGAAGTATTCAAATTTTATATGAAAGATAAAAGTTTTACTTTAGATTTGATGAAAGAAGAGTTCGATTACAAATGAAGATATAAAAGAATAATCAAAATCAGATGTATCTTGAAAAAACTTAACGTTGAAGAGGAGAATGAAGATATATTCCGACATTCATAAAAAATTTAATATTATTACCATGAAATAAAAAAAAACAAAAAAGATGAAGTTGATTAAAAAATAATTTATCAATAAGAATATCAAATTGATTGAAGATGTAGTCTCTTACAAGAATGATAATGATAAATATTACAAGCAAAAAGAGAAGGAAAAAAACAAAAACATAAAAAGAGCATAATCAAATTTAAAATTTGAAATTCAAATAAAAAATATGAAGGAAAAGATGAGTATTGAGAATATATACTTAATTATCAATAATTTAAATTAGTTATTAGATTTTTTTTTGTTATGTTTCAGTTTTTTAAATATTGTTTAGATAAAAAGAAAAATATATTAGATTATTGTATTGATTTAAAAAGTTAAGATTTAAATATTATTAATATTTAATATTTTTCTATATTGTTGAAACTGTTCCTATATTAACTTCTATATCCTAAAATATATTTTCTCAACATAAAAACAAACAAAGTTCAATTTCTCTAAATTTTTATTTCTTTTAGAAGTTAATTTTACTTTGTGGAGAAGTTCATTTCATTTTTTCTTCTTATCCTAGATGGTGAATTTTGTCCAAAGTAGGTCTAAGTTGTTTCGGTTTCTAACTTTAAATTCTACCACTCACATTCTTCCTTGCACTGTGGCATCTTCTTCCCCTACTCCTTCATTCTAAATATAAGTTTTTGAAAATTACTCTATAAAATAGTTTTTTAAACAAAAACAGAATCAATTACACCGCTCCTAGCTGAAACAAGCTATCTAGATTCTGAACAACATCACTACTTTAAAACCAAAAATAACTAATGAACAATTGTTATACTCTTTTAGAATGTGTCCTGGTTCATTATGTCTACCTTCATAAATAATCTTTTACTTTCACTTTAAAAAATGCACTTATGATTGTTAAATTCAAGCCATTAAATCCACTTTTACTATATTTCATGAATGCGCAAATTTGCTCCCTATAAAATTTTAATTACAAATTTGTCCATCAAATTTTTCAAAATTGAGCAATTTTTTAATTTTGATCTTTCATTAAATAATATCATTGAAGTGTTAATAAAAAATGCTACTTGTATGCATGGTAACAGTGTCAAAATTGTTTAATTTTGAAAAACCCAAGCTCCAAATCTGCAATTAAAATTTTATAAGGATCAAAATTGCACACACACAATTAAGCCTGAATTCTATAACATGATACCAACCTTTCAAGCTGCAACAATCAATTACTTATGCAAAACATGGCAGCAATTTTCAGTTAAAGTGTGCTGCTTAAATAATGAATAAAAAAAACAGAGATAATGAGATTTGAAATTCTTTGATAAAAAATGGTTCCTACTCCTTACCATACATGTTTATATATGTACTAGGGGTTTGAGTTTCCTTCTCAAAGCAAAGATTCTGATAAACTTGGATGCTCCAAGTACAATTGCAAACACAAAGGTTCACTGCTCATTGACTTGACAGGGGTGATAAGTGGAGGCTGCTGCCACTGTTTTGTGTCAGTTGGGATCCACAAGTCTGCTTCTTTGCTTGTACCGGTCTCGGGTAGGGATCGAAAATAAGCAGTTATCTCCCACCTGCAATCTGTTAAAGAGGAAATCAAAAGTTTAATCCTGTGTGTCAGTTTACACACACCAAAGGACAAACTTCAGCATGAGTTACAAATGTATCAAAGAAGTTACAAACCACATCCACTTGATTCAGAAATAGCAATCTATAGTATATGATTTTGAAATGAAATTGATGATAAGATATGTTATAAGGAAAGAATGGATGAAAAGTAAAAGTTGTATTGAATGTTAGGTAAAATACATCTTATATACAAGATAGCTTTACATAAGTACATAACAGATTGTAACCAACTAATTAACAGAAACTAAACTGAATTTATATTCAATATCCCCCCTCAAGCTGCAACATATATATCCTTAATGCTCAGCTTGGACAACAAAGATTGAAATTGTGATGGATGTAATGCTTTAGTGTGAATGTCTGCAAGCTGTGCTGAAGTAGGAATGGGTAAGAGCTTAATAACACCAGCTTGAATTTTATCCCGTATGAGATGACAATCAATTTCAATATGTTTTGTCCTCTCATGCATAGCTGGATTTTGTGCAATTTGTATGGTAGATCGATTATCACAAAACAAAGAAACTGGTTGTGGGAGAGACTGTTTCAAATCATGGAGCAAATACAGAAGCCATTGAATTTCACATGCTGTGGATGCTAAGGCTCTATATTCTGCTTCAGTTGATGATCTAGATATAGTTCCTTGTTTCTTGGACTTCCAGCTGATTAAAGATGCACCATAGAACACATTAAAACTAGTTACAGACCTTCTAGTTTCAGGGCAAGTAGCCCAATCGGAATCACTAAAAGCCTTGAGTGTATGTTCTGTATTGGAGGGAAAAAACAATCCTTGTCCTGGACTGTTCTTGATGTATTTTAGAATCCTTATTGCTGCTACATAGTGATCTTCCAAAGGATTGGAAAGGAATTGACTGAGTGTGTTGACAGCGAAACATAAATCTGGCCTTGTGTTGGTTAGATAGAGTAACCTTCCAAGTAGTCTTCTATAGGCATGCACATCTGAATAAGGTTTCCCTTTTGTCTTGGAAAATTTTGTTCCTGGCTTTATGGGAGTAGAAACAGGTTGACATCCCAACAATCCTGCATCTTCTAGTAACTCTAGGGCATACTTCCTCTGTGACAAAGTAATGCCTTGTTGAGATCTGGCAATTTCTAAGCCAAGAAAATACTTGAGTTGGCCTAGGTCTTTAATCTTGAACTTTGCATTCAATAGAGCCTTCACATTTTGAATTTCCTGGATGTTATCACCTGCCAATACTATATCATCGACATAAACAAGTAAGATGGTGATATGAGCAGAATCACTTTTGACAAAAAGTGAATAATCTGATTTTGATTGTATATAGCCCAAAGAAAGTAAAGTAGTTGTCAATTTGTAATTCCATTGTCTAGAGGCCTGTTTGAGTCCATATAAAGATTTCAATAATTTGCAAACTTGTCCTGGTTTTTCTGTCTTGTAGCCAAGAGGAAGAGACATGTACACTTCTTCATCTAGATCCCCATGTAAAAAGGCATTATTTACATCTAGTTGATGTAAATACCAATGCTTTGAAGCTGCTAAGGCCAGAACCAACCTTACTGTTGTGAGTTTGACAACAGGTGAAAAAGTTTTAAAGTAATCTAAGCCTTGTTGTTGTGTGTAGCCTTTGGCTACTAACCTTGCTTTGTATCTTTCAATGCTTCCATCAACTTGCCTCTTTATTTTGTATACCCATTTACACCCTATAGGTTGCTTTCCATATGGTAGATCAGTCAAAGCCCATGTTTTGGTACTTTCTAAAGCTGCAATTTCTTGATCCATGGCATTCTTCTAACAATCATGTTTGATGGCTTGGTTATAGGTTTTAGGTTCACTAACTTGGGAAAGATTAAGGACATATGATTTATGAAGAGATGATAATGCATCATAAGAGAGATATGAAGAGATAGGGTACAAGGTACCTGTAGATGACTGAGTGGCTGAAGAAGTAGATAACATGTTGCAATGATAGTCCTGTAGGTAAGATGGTTTATGTTTTGGCCTGGTTGATTTTCTTTGTGGAGTAGCAGTGATAGGTTCAGCAGAAACAGGTTGAGAAGAAAAAATAATAGGGTCTGGAACAACAGAAGGAGAAGATATAGGTGGTAAAGAGGGTTGATCAGTAACTTCTGAGAAAAGAGGTGATGGAGATGAAGTAATTTTGGTGACAAAATCCAAGGAATTTTGTGTATCAGTAGGGGAGTGCTTGTCATTAGTAAGAAAAGGAAATATGTTTTCATAAAATACTACATTCCTTGATAGAAAAATTTCCCTAGAGTTGAGATCCAACAAAAGGTAGCCTTTCACTCCTTTTTTAAAACCAAGTAAAAAACATTTTCTTGCTCGATGTTGAAATTTTGTTCTTTGAGCTTGAAGAGTTGAAGCATAGCAAAGGGAGCCAAAAACTCTTAAGTAAGTAATGTCAGGTTTAATATTGTGTAACAGCTGAGATGGAGAAAAATATGCTAAAACTTTGGAAGGTAAAATATTAATGAGATGCACAGCATAACGAACAGCAAAAGACCAGAAAATTATGGGCAAATGGGATTGAAACATTAAAGATCTAGCAACATTGAGAATGTGTTGATGTTTTCTCTCAACAACCCCATTTTGTTGAGGTGTTTCAACACAAGATAATTGATGTTGTATCCCTTTTTGTCTATAAAATTCTGTCATTGCAAACTCATTACCATTATCTGATCTAACAACTTTTACATCAATGCCAAATTGTGTTTTTATATAAGAAATAAAGCCAATAAGTTGTGATCTGGTATCTGATTTACTTGCCATCAATTTAATCCATGTGTATCTAGACATATCATCCACTATGGTTAACAAATATTTGAAACCATCAACAGAAGAAGTACCATAGGGACCCCAAATATCAACATGAATTAAATCAAAAGGAGTTTTTGAAACAGTAGTACTTGATGGAAAAGGCAGTTTTCTTTTCTTAGAATAGTGACAAGTATCACAATGAGTGTATTTTATATCAGGTATAGTATCATACATGTTTTGTAATTTGATGTAACAAGAAGAAGAAGGATGACCTAGTCTATGGTGCCAAATATCAATAGAGTTAGGTCTTATGGTTGAACAAGCAACAAAATTCACAGCTAGTGAAACAGAATTCATAGGTGCAGGAACTATCATGATATACAAGCCATCTCTTTCTTCAGCTTTCCCAATCATCTGCAAGGTTGACATGTCCTCTATCACACATGAAAATTCAGAAATGTCAAGCTTACAAGATAGAGATTTAGTTAACTTTGTGACCGAAATAAGATTTACTGAAAAATTAGGAACAAACAGGACATTATGTAGAATAAGTTGCGGGCTAAGGGAAACTGTGCCAGAAAAATGAGCAAGTGAGGAATTCTTGTTGGGTAGTGATACTGTAATTGGTGTGATTCTATGATAAGAAGTAAAATGAGACAAAGAATTGGATATGTGATCAGTAGCACATGTGTCTAGAATCCATTGAGAATGGATATTACCTTGAGCCTGAGAAGAAGTGGAAACATTATGAGAGCTCACTAGATTGGTAGAATGTGTGGCTGTGGGATTAGATTGAGGAAGAAGAGCCAATAGACCATGAATTTGTTCTTGAGAAAGTCCCAGAGTTGAGGAATTTGACTGTGCCTGAGAATTAGAAGAATGAACTGCTGCAGAAGAATCTATGGTAACATTGTGGACTCTTTTGGATTTGAAACTAGTAGAAAATCCAGGTGGTAATCCATGTAGGAGAAAACAAGTATCAATGGTGTGGTTTGTCCTACCACAGTGAGTGCATTGCCGAGAAGCATCAAACCTTCCCCCTGATGAGCGAGTTTGAGACCCTTGATATGAAGGTTTTCCTCGGCCATAATCACTAGCAGGTGAGGGTTTTCCTCTGCCATTGGAGGTAGAAAGAAAAGGTTTATATTGAGAAACTTGTGCTGCCATGACTGAAGGTTCAGGGAGAATTCCTGATTGTAATTGTCGCTCATGTTGAATTATCATCGAAAAAATCTTGGTTAAAGAAGGCAAGGGATCCATGAGAAGGATCTGAGAGCGAACAATAGAGTAATTATCATTCAAGCCTCTAAGAAAACAAAGAACACAATCATTTTCACGATATTCCTTCATTGTCTTAGAAACAATACAACAAGAAGCAGGAGATTTGCACTCTGGAATTGGGCGAAAATTGCAAAGTTCATCCCAGAGAATCTTCATCTTAGTGTAATATGCAGTAACACTTAGGTCAGATTGATGTATCGAATAAAGATCTTGATGCAATTGTGAAATTCGAACAGAATCACCTTGGGAAAAACGATCTTTGAGATCCTTCCATGCCACAGCTGCAGAGTCAATCCAGATAATACTTGTAGCAATCTCATGAGAAACAGAGTGATTGATCCAAGATAAAACCAAATTATTGCAGCGCTTCCATGCTGGAACCATGGGATTTGTCGCAGCGGGACAAGGAATGGAACCATCGGCAAAGCCAAATTTATTCTTCATTTGCAGTGACATAGACATCGAGCGGGCCCATCCATGATAATTGTGACCTTCAAGAATCGGAGAAACAAGCACCAGTGATGGATTCTCGTTAGGGTGAATGTAATAGTCATGTGTTGTATCTTGCAAAAATGCGAGAGTAACAGAGGGAGCAGCCATAGAAGGAGAAGAAATTGCAAAGAAGCAAAGAACGTAGAGAAAGAAAAACGGTCAGGGAAGCAGTAACAGAATCAAACGTAGAGAAAGAAAAACAGTCAGGGAAGCAGTAACAGAATCAGTTGCGGAAGAACGTGATGAGGAATGATTTTCCTTCTGATACCATGTTATAAGGAAAGAATGGATGAAAAGTAAAAGTTGTATTGAATGTTAGGTAAAATACATCTTATATACAAGATAGCTTTACAGAAGTACATAACAGATTGTAACCAACTAATTAACAGAAACTAAACTGAATTTATATTCAATAAGATATTGGCATGCTAATGTGCAGATGATTTGGTGAATATGCACACAAACATGACACCTTTTCACATATACTACAAAGAAAGGAATTATTGCAAATTTACCAATAAAAAGAGGCCATCATCATTAAGTGAAAAACATAAAAGGCTAAATTGCACTGCTGATCCCTCTGTTAGCTTTAATGTGCAATTTTGGTTATCAATAATATCTTGTAGCATTTGAATCTCCCCATTTTCCATTCTTTTTAAATGTCTCTGTCAGTGTCCATTCATTTTTAAATAGTAAAAATGGTGTCTTACAAAGTATATTAAAGTTATCAGTAGGTACATTGAGGTGCCTAACTCAGTAAAATGTTGTTACATGAATAAATTAGCCATGTGACTAACTTCTGTTATTAACTGGATTAGAGTCAGACTGATAAAGCGACCTTTTCTACATTTAGAAAAATTAAGGGATTTGATAGTTACAAAAATTACTGGTAGACAAAAATCATGTTATTCACATCATAGTAGCCAGAACAAAAGTGCTATCAAGCCAAAGGGAAAACAAGAAGATAAAAAGAGAAAGGGTAACAAAAATATTTTGCAGCAAACATGATTATATTCGCATTTACCAGGAGGAAGCATTTTACAAAGAGATTCTGAATTTGACAGTTTTATCAGGAACGATCTGAGAGAGAACTCAAGATCAACTTCTTCCACCTCTGAACCATAAGCTTGGTTCACTGCAAGCTTGAATACAAATTTCTCCATTGGAACATTGTCAGCATTGAAGAAAATAACAGCTACTCTCTCCACCATTCCCTGGTAAAATGTAAGGTATAAAACTCAGCATGCCGAAACAAAGCAGTTGCAAACAAGCTTGGATGCACAGGATGGTATGTTTTTGCATACGATAGTGGACCTTAAGTCAAGCATTAACTTACTTAAATCTTCTGCAAAAGAATTAGTCAACAAAACACATCTCTCTCGGAGAAATCACAAGTAATAATCCTGTTGAAAACAAATAATAGTTCTCTTTTTTATCACTACCACCTAATCAACAAAATTACATTTGACTAAGTGCTACTAATCTAAACATGATTGCTTATATTTTAACAGAAACATTTCTAACCCACCCAAAATGGGATATGACAGATTAATCCACTATAGTTAAGAGGGGTTATATACTCCGATATGTTTTCCCAAAGACGAGTTGACGGACAACTAATAAATTTTTTTATATATATTTTTTAAAAATATATCTTTAATTATATAAATAATTTAAAATTTTATTTATTAATTAGTATTTTTATTAAATAAATTGAAAAAATTATTATATTTATATGTTAAAATAAATAATTATAATCAATAATTTAAACTTAATTGATTAATTTTTGTAATTTAATTTATAATATACTTATATATTTTAATTCTATAATAAAAAAATATAATATTTTAAATTATAATAATTTTAATTTTAATTTTAATATATAAATAAATTTTTTAAAACGGATAAGCGGAGTCCTCTCTTGCTCTTGAACTGCCGAGTTAGCGGATGTTACATTGCCATCTCCAAACAAGGAAAATATACAGTCATTTAGGTATTTCTGGATCAAACATAGCATGGCTAGCAACTAATTCAAATCCAATGCCAGCAAACAACTACTCGTAGAATACAAGGTTGAGTGCAAAAAAGAAGAAAAGAAATTAAAATTACCAAACAAAAACAACCTTCTGTACAAAGGGTAGAAGCCCAGTAACAGTAGCATGTATATAATATCTAAGCTGAGGATGACAAGCTCTTTGGACCACCACATTCATATACCTTCTCCGTTCAAAGGCACCTTTTCCACAAGCAAAACTCAAATAATGAAAACTAATTCTAATCAATTTAGTTGTCAATAATTACAAAATCAAAGTAAAGTCCATTTTACAGTCACAATCATTTTTTTTTTTTTACCACAAACCAATGGGAAAAAATATGTATGCAATAATCAACTAACCAGAAGGATAAATTCCTTTGAGAAAAACAACAGCGGTGATAGCCACCTCCAAGAAGTCAACCAAAACCCTAGCTATTTTGCCTGCAAATTTTCACACAAAATCATAGTAACTCCAAACTATATACCTACATAAACTTAATGAAAAATTAAAACTTTATTGGTTAATTTCAAACCTTGGGGAGTTTGATTCTGTCTGCGCTCCATCTTCTTCAAATTCAGTCCCCAACACACTCCACTGGGAGGAAACAAACAACCCATGTTCCCAATACGCTATAACAGTTATCAAAATTACAAATTTACCACTAGACCGACCCGAATTTGCTTCGGATCTCATTAACGCTTTGTGGGTCGGTTTTATGACCCGATTCTTCGTCTTCCTCATCTATAGAATTCTACTTGACTGAATCACTACCCCCAACGGCAAGATTTTGATTTTCCATTGACACAGGATGGCAGGTGAGATTTTGATGGATATTCATTTTCTTCTCTCTTTACTTTCCGAGAGAATCAGATGAATTAGGGGTTTTGCTGAATCGTTTCGTTGGGTTTTGATATTGGGTCCGAAATTTGAAAATGGAAGGGAAAAGCAATGAAAAGAAGGGAGGAAGAAGGGGGAGAGCGTGCGTGGTGGTTTTGGGTGACATTGGACGGAGCCCTCGAATGCAGTACCACGCTCTTTCACTCGCCAGTCAGGTGTTTTTTTTTTTTTTTTTAAATTTCGTATACTGATTTAATTTAGTTTAATTTGATTTGATTATTCTTTTTCTTTTTCAGTTGGTTTGTTTTACGCTTTCCGAATTCATGTGAGTTGTATTTTTAGTTAGTAGTAGGTTTGCCAGGATCTGTGTTGTGGCAAAAGTAGTAGAAATAGTAGCAGTAGTTAGTACCTTTCGATTAATTCTTCTGTTTCAAGTTTGGATTGGAGAAAAGTTGTGAATGGTGTTGATTTTTAATGTTTAGGGAGTAGGATCATACCAAAATTCTGATGGTTTCTGCACTGGGTGTAATAGATGTTCTCTTTGTATGAGCATGATTCTTAAATTCAGTGCATATTTGTTTCAAGTTTTTGTGCAATCAATTGAGAGCTCATCGGAATTAAACTTAATGCATATTTGAGTTTTTGTGCATATTTGTTTGGAATTTCCTTGACTGGGCATAAATAACCTTTCTTTGACTGGGCATAAATAACCTTTCTTTGGAATTTCCTCATCGGTTAAGCCATCCAGCACTGATGTTCTAAATCTACCTATAATAGTTTGGAATTTCCTTGACTGGGCATAAATAACCTTTCTTTCACATCTAGGAATGAGGATTAGGTATATTCATGAGTTACTTCAAATATTTGAACCTTTCAAACATTTTTTTATTTATTTTTACTGTTCATTAATTTACTTTCTTTTCAATATGGTATTGCAGGCATCTCTGGAGGTTGACATTGTTGCATATGGAGGTACTGTTTCTAATTTCAAGTTGTTTATAATGAATAGTTAGAATTAGGTTTTATTAGTACAGTAATTCATAGAGTTAGATGCTAAATTTTGAGTGCAGAATGAGAAAATTTTCTTTTTTAATAATGGTTACTAACAGGTTCAGAGCCACATAGTGCACTTCTTGCCAATCCATCTATTCATATTCACATAATGGTATCAATGTTGCCTAAATCTAATATTTTCTGGACAAGTTATTCTTATATTTTACTAAATTTGATCTAGAGTTGGAATTTTCTCCAATTTTCAGAAGCAGTGGTTTACAGCCAGTCAACGCTTACCAAAGATACTTCAGCCCATAATGCTTTTGTTGAAACCGTTGGTTCAATTTCTCGTGCTTCTTTGGTTCCTTTGTGTAAAAATAATATCACCTGATGTTTTTATTGTCCAGGTTAGCCTTTTAAAGTTTTCTTCCTATTTTTGTACCTCAGTATTTAAGTTTACTTTTTTGGCTTCCTTGATAGATTCATCGCTCCTTGTTCTTACTAAGTGAGACATTATGTTGAAAAACTTTTACCTGGAAAATTGATTGTTGTTTTTGAATCTTAGCCTTTGTTTGAGAAGCATAGCTATAGCCAAATAAATAATAAAACAATCTTTGCCAAGTAGTTTGTGCTATAGGTCAGTTTGGGCTACTCGACAAATTCTGATTTTGCCTAACTTCACTATTTTTCATGCATAGATGATGTTGGGAACTCTACACTTCGAAGGATATTTTATTAACTGTATAATGATTCATTGATCAAAGAAGCAAAATGACCAGAGATGGTGGGAAGTTTGATTTTATAGTCTTTTGCATCATTTATCTGATTCCTTTGTTTGTGCAGAATCCTCCTTCAGTTCCAACCCTGGTGGCCGTAAAATGGGCTAGCTGGTTGAGAAATTCATCTTTTGTTATAGATTGGCATAATTTTGGGTATAGTCTACTTGCACTGTCATTGGGAAGAAATAGTCATTTTGTCACCTTATATAGATGGTAATAGTTTAGCATTTATTTTATTTTATTTTATTTTACATGAGAGTTTTTTATTTGTGTGGTTTGGCTTTGCTTTTTGAAGGTTGCTGCTAATATGATTATTTTCTTGGCTTCAATTAGGTTTGAGAAGCATTATGGAAAAATGGCAGATGCTTCTCTTTGTGTAACAAAAGCAATGCAGCACGAACTGGCTCAAAACTGGGGAATAAAGTAAGAGAGGCAACTCAAAGTTAAAATATATGCTTGACATAAAATTGGTGCAATTATCTGTGGAGAAATTTGATGTCTATATATCTTACTGATTAATTTTATAGTGCTACAGTTTTGTATGATCAGCCTCCTGACATCTTTCATCCAGCTTCATTGGAGGAGAGGCATAAGGTAAATCTAGTTGTTTAGTAACCCTGGTTATTATTACTTATCAAACATTCTGATAGGTATATATGATAGAAAAAAAAAATCAAATTAAAACAGAGCAGAATATGAGTCTATGGAAACTGTATTATTGAATATATGACATGAACAACCCAGGTGCAACACGATATAATATCTTTCTAGAGTCTATGACTCCTCCCCATAGACAACTCTCCTTACCCTATTCCATAACCAACTTCCCATACTCCTCTCTCTTTTCTCCTCTCTCAAATACTTGAATTCCCACTAATTTCATATTCTTTTCTACGTCATTACCCTCCTAACTAATTAATATTCTCTGGGCCTGCTTTCTTTCTTCTAGAATAAACCTTCCATACTTTGGGCCTTCCAGTAACACAGTCTTCTCCACTACCTTTTTCCTGCTGTATCAGCCCATCCTCAAGTGTTCTATCATTATCTCCTCCAAAAATCGCCTTGTCCTCAAAGATGAGGAAATTGACTCTCGAGCAATAATGTACCTATCCAAGTGGTTTCTTCTGCAGTTTTGCCCTTCCAACGCACCAGCCACTGCTTAATTAACTGTCCTTTTTTCATAATTTCTCGTGTTGCTAAAACCGCCTCTTGTTCCTCCAAATCTTCTTGCTCCAATTCCAATTCTGCAGGCAATTCAGGAGCTGCAGAATAATCTCCCACTGCCCGTTTCAGCTGTGATACATCATGAAATATTGGGTGCACTCTAGCTGTCTCCGGTAACTTCAACTTGTACGAAACAACTCCCACCTTGGTCATCACAAGAAATGGTCCATAATAACTAGCTGCCAACTTTGGATTAATGCGACGTGCCACCGTCTGTTGCCTATGTGGTCGCAATTTTACAAATACCCATTCTCCTACCTTGAACTTCACAGGTTTGCGTTTCCTATCTGCACACTTCTTCATTTGCTGCTGAGCATGTAGCAAATGATATTTTAATTGTTACAGAGCTTCATCATAATCGACTAATTCTACTGCCACAGCCTCTACTTTCGTTTCTCCTTGGGTAAAGCAAACCAACGAAGGGTGCTCTCCCATATACCACTTCAAATGGTGTTTTTCCCGTAGTCACATGGAAGGTGGTATTGTACCATAATTCAGCCCATGGTATCCAATCCACCCAATGTTTAGGTTGCTCCAATACAAAACACCTTAAGTAAGTCTCTAAACACCTATTCACCACTTTTGTTTGACTGTCCGTCTCGGGATGAGAAGATAAGCTCATCTTTAATACAGTACCCTGTAAACGAAACAACTCTTGCCAAAATAAGCTCATAAACAAGGGGTCTCGGTCACTCACAATTGAATTGGGTACCCCACGGAGCCTCGCAATTTCCTTAGCAAATATTTCTGCTACCTTTCTTGCCATATATGGATGTTTGAGAGGTATAAAGTGCCCATACTTTGACAACCGGTCTACTACCAAAAACACAACGTCAAATCCCTTTGATTTGGGCAACCTCGTTATAAAGTCAAGGGAAATATCCTCCCAAACGTAGTTAGGTATGGGTAATGGTTGTAAGAGTCCAGCTGGAGATGTTGTTGCATACTTTTGCCTTTGACATATTACATTGCTTAACAAATTCTTGAATAATACCGGATCAGTTGTGTTGAATAAAGACAATTCTACCTTTTTCCCCGTCATCCTATCCTCCGGTGACACTTTCGTTTTTTGAATACGACGAAACCCGCTCTTCACTACATGCAGTATGCAATCTGGCAAATTCCTCCAACTTGGAATGACGGAACTCCACCAACGATTGATGCATCGAAGCCTCCATTGCTGTCAAATGTTCCTCCAATGCGTCCACTCTATCTGACATTTTCGGCGGCATGGAAAAAAGGTAACTACACTAGCTCTCCTTGAAAGGATCCGACAGGTTGAACCAATGATAGGTATATATGATAAAAAAAAAATCAAATCAAAATAGAGTAGAATATGATAGTCTATGGAAACTGTATTGTTGAATATATAAAATGAACAACCCAGGTGCAACACGATATATCTTTCCAGAGTTTATGACTCCTCAAGAGAGACAACTCTCCTTACCTGATATGAATCACAATTACACAAGGGCTAATTTAGGATCTTTAGGGTTAGAACCTTGTAAGAAATTTAGGAATCAGAAAGAAGGTGGAAAGAAAGAATCACTCTTCCCAAGGGAGGCAACACACAAAGGATGTGAAAGTCCTTTGATACAGTCAAGGGTTCTTGAATCACTTAAGAATTTAGGAGAATTACTCTCACTAAGATAAAAGAGATAAACTCTAATATTTCTGAATAAAATTTCACTTGTTATTTCTTGATAAAAATGGTTTAGCTGATATAGAAGCGTTGCCATCAGAATTACAAAAACTCAATAAAAAAAACAAATACTAATAATAACCCATTAATCTAGGAATTGAAAACTATTTAATGGTGTTGAAAGTCCCACATCGCCTACCTCATGTCATTTGGTATGGTTTAAATACATATTAGGCTACTCCACATATTGCCAATTGGTTTTATGTTGGAACCTTAACATGGTATTAGAGCCAAAGCCTAACATTTTTCCGGATATTGTCATGGGCCAAAAGTTACCCTTTAGTTGGGTTAAAAGTACCATTTGCCTGGTCCGACAGGCTTCGTTGGAGGGGGTGTGTTGAAAGTCCCACATCGCCTACCTCATGTCATTTGGTATGGTTTAAATACATATTAGGCTACTCCACATATTGCCAATTGGTTTTATGTTGGAACCTTAACAAATGGAAACAAATAAAAGCTAATAATGATCCATTAACCTAGGAATTGAAACTACTTAATGAATGGTTGTATCTAAAACTGTGACAACCAAAAGGCAATCATCTATGCACCCCCTGATCTCCCAAAGCCTGATGACTAAATTTTCAATCGGGCCCTTATTACAACTTAAAACAAAATCAAACTAAAGCCCATTAATTGATTAATTCAAAACATAATTTGGTCAACCAATAATATTTGTTGAAGAACTTCCTTTATTTCCCTTGCTCTAGCTCTTATCATAGGTCATGTTCACATCATTCTCTCCCTCTTGAAAAAGATTTGTCCTCAAATCGAATTTGCCATCTACATAAAAAAGAGATAAGTCTGACAAATTGAATGTAAAATTAACATTATACTCACTTTTTATGGCTAAATAGTTCTCTCTCACTTCAAGTGTTTCACTTTTCTTTTGATCACTCTTTTTCCTCTCAAGTGTTTCACTAATGCTGTCTTTCTCTCTCTTTTCTTGAAGAAGTTTTTCTCTCATTTTCTTTTTATCCTCACACACTTCTTGTGGACTCAAAGGTTTGAGCACAATCTTCTTGTCTTGGTGCATGAAAGAGATCTTGTTGGTGAACTCGTTATGATTAACTCTTTTATCAAATTGCCATGGTCTCCCCAAAAATAAGTGACTGACTTCCATAGGAATAATATCATAAAACACCTTATCATTGTATTTTCCAATGGAAATGTCCACTTCAACTTGTTGTCTCACTTACACCTCTCCATCCTTACTAAGCCATTGAAGTTTATATGGCCTAGGATGTGGTTTGGTAGCTAAATTTAGCTTTGATACTAATCTAGCACTAGCCACATTGGTGCAACTACCTCCATCTATGATCATCATGCACACCTTGTCATTGATTAAACATCTAGTGTGAAAAATATTTTTTCTTTGACTTTCTTCCATAGGTTTCAATTGACTATCAAGTAATCGCCTAATCATCAATAAATCTCCCTTTGGAATCTCCTCCTCCTCAATGTCTTCACTACTTTCTCCCTGTTCAACCTCAAATTCACTTATATATTCTCCCTCTCTAATAACCATGGTCTTTGTGTTAGGGCACTCATAAGCATAGTGTCTTAGGTCTTGACACTTGAAACACTTCACATCTCTACTTTTTTTAGAGGGTTGTTATTCATATTTTGAATGAGTCTTTGTAGGAATAGGTGTGGAACTACTAGAAGTAACAACTCCATCTTTCTTGCCTTTGTCCTTCCAACTTGAAAATCAAAAGTTGGTAGAACTCTTTTTAGTCATTTCTTTTCTTTTGAGTTGTTGTTCTACTCGAATTGCTTTATGAAGTAAATCCTCCATATCAACAAACTCCTGCAACTCAACAATATCACATATATCAATATTCAAACCACCAATAAATCGGGCCATAGTTACCTCTTCATCTTCTTCAATCTTTGCTTGAATCATGAGCATGTCCATTTCTTTGAAATACTCCTCAACCCCCTTGTTGCCTTGAGTATGTTTTTGGAGTTTAAATTTCAAGTCCCTTGCATAACTAGCTGACACATATCGCTTCCTCATGATCCTTTTCATCTCAGTCCATGTATCAACCATTGACTCTTCATTTCTATCTCTCTCCTTTTGTAGCTTGTTCCACCAAACAAGAGCATAGTCAGAAAATTTCGTTGTTGCAAGTCTCACCTTTTGGGTCTCCTCATAATTGTTGTATGAGAAAACATGCTCTATTTTCATCTCCTACTCCAAGTATGCCTCCGGATCACTTTTTCCTTTGAACGGAGGAATGTTAAGCTTGACTCCTTCAAGCCTACTTGGTCTTGCTACTCCATCATTCATTCTCCTATTTCTCCTTTCTTCTTCGTCTTCAGGATTTCTATTCTCCAACCGGTTTAATCGTTCATGAAGCTCATTGTTATGTCGTGTCATTAATCCTTCCAAATGTTGTACCAATGCTCTCATTTGAAATGGACTAATTCCAGCTTCTTGATTGTAATTTTCCTCTTCTGCCATCAATTTGATGTTTAAACCCTTCAACCGGAGCTCTGATACCAAATGATATGAATCACAATTACACAAGGGCTAATTTAGGATATTTAGGGTTAGAACCTTGTAAGAAATTTAGGAATTAGAAAGAAGGTGGAAGGAAATAATCACTCTTCCCAAGGGAGGCAACATACAAAGGATGTGAAAGTCCTTTGATACAGTCAAGGGTTCTTGAATCACTCAAGAATTTAGGAGAATCACTCTCACTAAGATAAAAGAGATAAACTCTAATATTTTTGAATAAAATTTCACTTGTTATTTCTTGATAAAAATGGTTCAGCTAATATAGAAGCGTTACCATCAGAATTACAAAAACTCAATAAAAGAAAATAAATACTAATAATAACCCATTAATCTAGGAATTGAAAACTATTTAATGGAAACAAATAAAGACTAATAATGATCCATTAACCTAGGAATTGAAATTACTTAATGACTGATTGTATCTGAAACTGTAACAACCAAAAGTCAATCAGCTATGCACCCCTTGGTCTCCCAAAGGCTGATGACTAAATTTTCAATTGGGCCTTTATTACAACTTAAAACAAAATCAAACTAAAGCCCATTAATTCAAAACATAATTTGGTCAACCAATAATATTTGTTGAAGAACTTTCTTTATTTCCCTTATTCTAGCCCTTATCATAGGTCATGTTCACATCATTACCCTATTCCATAACCAACTCCCCGTACCCCTCTCTCTTTCCTCCTCTCTCAAATACTTGAATTCCCACTAATTTCATATTCTTTTCCACGTCATTACCCTCCTAACTAATTAATATTCGCTGGGCCTGCTTTCTTTCTTCTTCTAGAATAAACCTTCCATACTTTGGGCCTTCTACTAACACGGTCTTCTCCACTACCTTTTTCCTGCTGTATCAGCTCATCCTCAAGTGTTCTATCACATTCTTAGAGATTTTCATATGCAATATATACAATCTACAGTTGTTTTGCAGATTAAATGAGGACTTGTTTCAGCCTCTTGGTGTCAGAGATTGTGTTAGTAATGGTAAGGTAGCTTTTATAATCCACATATATATCAATCTTAGTCGTTAGCACATTTTCTGTTTATGTGCTTGCTTCTTACAGGAAGTTCCTTGATTGCTAGCCGCTGCCAAAATGAAACTCTGTTTACAACTGAGGTTGGTTCAAACATATATTTGAAGCCAAATCGACCAGCACTTGTTGTAAGCAGTACGAGCTGGTAAGCTTATACTAGATTGAGTTGTCTCCTTTTGTAACATGGAAATAGCTTGTCTGCATGTTGTGATTTGTAGAATGATCAATTTAGTTTTTTAAAATATATGAAAAAAGTTTCAATTTAGTCATAGAATTTAAATAAATTAAAATAAGATCCTTGAAAGTAATTTCAATCTCTCACAATCATTTTTCATTTCAATTAAGTCCCAGCATATTAGCATTAAAATACAAGTTATTCTCTTTATGTTATGATAAAATACAATTTAAACTATATATGTAATGATTAAATTGTATTTTAATGATAATATGTGGGGACCTATTTGAAATAAAAGATGAAAGTTACTTTCAGAGATTATTTATTTATTAACATTCAAGGGTTAACTAGGAAAAAAAATGAACTTTAAAGACCAAAAAGATCATTCAACCTATTGTGATTTTCAGGAGTTATTGTTTTTTATTTAGTTGAAACCATGGACAACATAACTTTGTATCCTTTTAAAATAGCACTTTCTTTTTCCTTCATGTTATGACGTTTATTAGATGGAACTTAAGTGAGAAAATGAAGCATGACATGAAAAATAAAAAAGCCATAGAAAACATCTGTTGATTGATTGGGATAATCTTGACTTGTATTCGTGAGCTACTTAACCAAACTTGAGTGCTTTATTTCCATCACTTGTGCCACTTTCAGGACACCCGATGAAGATTTTGGCATTCTCTTGGAAGCTGCTGTAATGTATGATAGACGTGTTGCTGCCATATTAGGTGAAGATGATTCGGTAGATGAGGAAGTCATGTGGAAAGAAATACATGATGGAAAACAATGTTTATATCCCAGATTGTTATTCATCATAACTGGTATGTATTGTGTTTTAATTCTGAAGAATTGGAAATCATGTGGAATTATCTGATGTGGGCTTTTCATTGATAAAGGCAAAGGTCCAGAAAAAGAGAAGTATGAAGCAAAGATAAAGAGATTGAAACTTAAACGTGTGGCATTTCGTACTATGTGGCTGTCAGCTGATGATTATCCATTACTGCTAGGTATTGTGTTCCTTGTTTTAAAAATTATCTTGTACTGTGATGAAATTCTTGATTTTAACAGTTTTTGGTAATTCAGGATCAGCTGATCTTGGTGTTTGTCTGCATACTTCATCATCAGGATTAGACCTTCCAATGAAGGTATTCATGATTATATGTCGGTGTACTGACAAAGATTTGATGTTAGCAATGCCTTTTCATGGTTATATTGAAATCCTCCCTGTGAATAATCTGCTGTTTTGAAACACTTCAGACACATTGCACTCATAAGCTTCTAGGGCATCAAATGATGATAATATTATGTTGATTAAATGGGTTTTCTAATAAAATTATTGAAATCATCTAACTACATGAGTATTCTGTACGTCTTCATATAACTTAAATGATTTGCTTCATTAGAATATATCTCCATCTGTTCAGTCTAATATTAGTCCTGGGTCATATAAATCGTAAGATAATCTTCTGTGCTAGTTCTTGTATGCATGTTCTGGCTAATTTAATTCATTTTTGTTGAATGGGTTAAAGCTGCTTATATTTGTCGAGGTGCTTGAACTTGCCATTTCCAGTTAATTCTGCACTATGAGATAGGTTCAAGTTGGATCTTGCTTTGAACCTCTGATGGCTCTTTATGTGTGATATTAAATACTAGCTCGTCCTTTGAATTTAATGTCTAGAACTCGGTAATGGAAATTGGATATTTTTGTACCTATTAAACCTTAGGCTTTTTAAGATGATGTCGTTAGTTAAATATATTTATTTCATTTTGAAAGCGTTAGAAAAAACAAGTATTGAATCTTATTAAAGATTCAGTTTGTTTCTAAATTTTTATTCTTTAACTGTACCAGGTTGTGGATATGTTTGGCTGTGGACTGCCTGTTTGTGCTGTTTCTTATTCTTGGTAAGCTAAGTAATTCCTTTAAAAATTGTTTGTGACTTATTCTGAAGTTCAAAAATAGTTCTGTTCATTTATGGGTAGTCTTTACCTTATTGAAGCATTAAAGAACTGGTTAGAGTTGATAAAAATGGTCTTCTCTTCTCTTCTTCGTCAGAGCTAGCTGATGAACTTCTGGTATGTCTGTTAATAATTACAAGCTTCAACTTCCTTATTTGAATGTGGATTATAGTTTTTAGATTTTTGTCCGTTTAAATCTTCTGTTTTATAATGGATACAGTCTAAATGTCTATTCTTGAGCAATGAGCGTACTGATTTGGTGCCCTGAATCTATACAGTTGCTCTTCAAGGGATTCCCTGATGACTACTGTGATGCTTTAAAGGTCCTCAAAGATGGTGCATTAGAAACTGGATCTTCAGCAAGGTGGGCTACTGAATGGGAAGAACATGCAAAGCCACTGATTACCGAGGCAAGTTCATTCTGCTATGCTTTGCACTATGTCATTATCAAGTCATCTACTCTCGGGGTAGTTGACTGTTTGCATCTCATTGATCAGTTCCCGATTTTTTGGAATAGACAGAATCTTCTGATTCTTATGCACAGCTACCAGTAGATATGTTTTCCATTACTTTATGGATTTCAAATATGTAATTGTTTAGATACCTTTTAAAATAGCTGATTATCTCCTAATTTTTAGACCTACACTAGTGTGAAGCTGTTTTCCAAGTTCATATTTATACCACTGTAATCGATTTGGGGAAAGATACAATATTTTTCTACATGTATATTTGATACATGCGGTTATCAATTGGTCCTACTATTTTGAACTTAAAATAAGAGCATATGGATTTGCAGGTTTTATGAAGATTTTGACACTGTTGATTCTGAAAAGTGATCTTCAACTTCTCTAACAGCAAATTGGACCAAGCTGTTAGCCTAATCCAGTGGATAGTTGTCTGGTGCAAATTGCATGTACTGATTGCATGCAGATTTGATGAAGTTTTGGCAATTTCCAAGCATAGTCACCTTGTACAGAGCAGCTATGCAGCAGGGTTTCCAACATATGTCTGTTGTTGACGTGTTGTGTATGAAGTTTCAAATAATAGGTGTTATCTGAAAAATTGGCTTTATGGTTTAGGATTTCATTTTATTTGAATATGATTTGATTCTTAGTCCATATGTTTCAATGTGAAAGTGAGGTTATTGTACTAAAGCTTCTAGATAAGATTTTGCTGGCGAACTTGAGTTCTGCTTTGATGACATGCTAGTATAACATGCTTAGGACAATTCTACCAAAATCTAACTAACAAATTGAAATTTAAAATTTAATCTTGTATTATAATGTAATATTAGCAAAGAAAGAGAGAAAGGATAATATTTACAGTGTAACATTAACATTAAAATTGAAAAACTACAACCATGGAACATTAAGATTGAGAAATATGAACAAAAACTAGGAAAACTATATATTTGTTTCTACGAGAACTTAATGACCCATCAAAGCTTGTCCTCGAACTCGCAGAGAGGTGTAATTTGTTCCTTCAAACCTTTCTTCCTTCTTATCTCTGCAACACGAGCAGCAGCAGGAGTGCCGGGTTCTAGTGGATCAGATGACACCATATCCCAATGGTCAAATACTAACTGGGGGAAAGCCTGCCCCCCGGTTTGAGCCCGTAGTGATTCATTGAATTTAAATGACTCAATAACAGGCAAATATGCCTTGACAGTGTAAAGTGGGGTGCCAGGCCTATGGATTTCCTCAAACACTTGTCCTCTTTTCTGGTTAAGAACATTGTATATACCGCCAAGAACCTGTTCAGGTGCCTGTATTTCCACCAGATACACAGGCTCCAGAAGTCTCGGTCTTGCTGTCAGTGTGGCTGCATAGAAGACCCTTCTAGCAGTTGGAATGATCTGGCCGCCTCCTCTGTGAATAGTATCAGCATGGAGAATCACATCACAAATCTCGAAGCAGACCCCTCGCATGTTCTCATCAGCCAGTGGACCTTCTTTTGATGCTAACTCAAACCCCGCAACAATCGAGTCTTTGATTTCATTGAGGTACTGTACGCCCTTGCAAGTATCAACGACCATGTTGGGTCCTTTACCCTCAGGGCCAAAACACCATATTTTCTTGGTCAGATCCTTGTCCCAACCAAACTCTTCTGACAATATTCTAGACCTATTTCTTGGGTCAACCCCTGGTCCAATCTTTTCATCATCAATAGCCTCTGCTAGTCCATCCTCCGTAGGCCTTGCTTCCACGTATAGGCGGTTGTGTTTGTTAGGTGACTTGCTCATCACTGTACGGCAAGACCTTTCAAACACAGTCTCGCGGAAAGAGACGATAGGATCAGATATTGAAACCTCTGCTCCATTCATAAAATCGACCTGCAAGTCCTTCAAGCAGATTTCAAGATGAAGCTCACCAGCAGCAGATATTATATGCTCTCCTGTCTCTGACATTGTGCAGACCACCATAGGGTCTGACTTTGCTAAACGTTTTAGACCTTCTTGTAGCTTAGGAAGATCTGATGGAACCCTACTTGTAACAGCAACACTAACCACGGGTGACACAGAAAACTTCATAGCTCGAATGGGGTGTGCATCAACTTCTTTCTCATTGGTCAATGTAGCATTTTTGGTTATGAATTGATCCAAGCCCACCATAGCTACCGTATTGCCACAAGGCACATCCTCAACAGTTTCCTGTTTCTTTCCCATCCAAATTACAGTTCGCTGAACACTTTTAACGTACAAGTCTTTTTTCTCTCCCGGGATAAAGTTTGGTCCCATGATTCTGACTTTCAAACCGGTTGAAACCCTACCAGAGAAGACTCGGCCAAAAGCATAAAACCTACCCCTATCAGATGCAGGAATCATCTTTGAGACATAAAGCATTAGAGGTCCTTCGGGGTCACAATTTCTGATAGCAGAAGCATAAGGATCATCCAGGGGGCCCTCGTACAAATTCTGAACGCGATACTGCTGAGCACTGGCAGGAGAGGGAAGGTGATATATCATCATCTCCAGAAGGGCACTACTTGCCGGGAGCCAACTCTGCATAACACGCTTCATCAAAGCCTTTCCTGTCAATTCCTTTTCCTCTGACTTCATGTTTACCCCAATCTTTTGCAACTTGGACCACAGCTCATCCCTCTGGTCGCTCATGCAAAGCTCAATAATCTGTTTGATCGGTTCATAACATAACATAACAAAGCCACGCTTACAAGTAGCAGTCCCGCTGTGTTTGTTGGTCCACTTTTTGGTGGCAGAATCAAAGAAATTCGCACCCCAAAGCCTACTCATCATCTTTGCCTCATCAATTCCAAACTTGGAAGCATACATCTTGGCGAAGTTGGTAAGGGTAAAACCCCATCCATGCAAACCAGCAGAGAAAGCAACCGTCCCCTTCTCAGGGTATACCTGAATATCACCAAGTAGAGCATCTTCATAGGTTGCCATGATCACATTTGCACTCTCAACAACCCTTTGAAATGTAAGGTATGCCTCCTCTGGATCAAGGTTGAGCTCGAGGAAGCACCTATCCATCTTGTTAACTGCTAAAATAGGCTTAACCCTTTCTCCAAGAGCTTGTCTCAGCACTGTTTCTGTCTGTACGCATACACCCTCTACACAATCCACCACCACAAGTGCTCCATCAGTGATGCGAAGCGCAGCCGTGACCTCAGATGAGAAGTCCACATGCCCAGGTGAGTCAATGAGATTTATAAGGAACTCATTCCCTTCACGCTCTCCCTTGAAATTCTTCAAATCACCCTCTAGCATCTCATAGTAGAGAGAGATGCCAGTGGACTTGATAGTGATACCTCTTTCAGCTTCATCTTGACGAGTATCCGTCATCCTCACATCTCCTGCAACCTCTTGTGCTATGATACCAGCAGCAGCCACAAGAGAATCAGTCAGGGTGGATTTTCCTGCATCCCAGAAGCTAATTAAGATACTGTAGTGTTTACAAAGTTACCAAAGCAATGATATAGTACTATGAGATATCAAGGACCAGAAATTTAAGGAGAATTCAAAAATCTTTTCTTGTTTTAATCCCCGTGACATAGATACAGAGGCTAATTACCGAAAAGTATTGTACAACAACAATGTCAACCATTAAAAAATAGGAAGAGAGATTTCGCATCAACACAAAACTTGAACAACATACCATGATCAACGTGAGCAATAACAGACATGTTCCTAATGTTGTGTTTGCGGTCCATAATCCGTCGAAGTTGATCAATTGTGAACTTCACCTGCACATGATAATCCAGTTTAGCTTAAAGCATCCATCCCTTAAGAGAAAAAGTAATAGGAAAAACATTGTCAACTCACCATCTTAACAGGTCCTTAGTCCCCTAACCCACGAGCTAACTGAGAAAAGACCGTGAGGATGATTATGAAGACATAAATTAAACGTTTAGAATAAAAATAAAAACAAAATTGTCATAGAAAGTTACAAAACTTCTTGCTGATAGAAAATATTATATCTATTCACTTTGGAAAATATCATACCTTGCTGGGAGAGTAAGAAGGAGAATACAAAGAAAAGAAGATCACATTAAACTAAACACTCGGCAGTCAGCAACAGGCAAAAGGGTTTGAGAGAGAGATGGTAGTAGTTTGAGTCAGAGACCAATGGATGACACTTATAGGAGGTCCTGATTGCGTCAAAAATATATTTCAAACTAAATTATTTGCTGTGATTGAGTCAGAGTGATCCAACCAGAAAGTTTCTTGGAGTGCTGTGCAAGAAAATTGACTTCGTTTTAGTTAAACAAACTAAATTATTTGCTGATTTGACTATGGACTATCAGGGGAGACTCAGATTATTATATTTGTATAGTCTGCTTAATCATAAAACTATATTTCATGAGAAAATGAAAACGAGAGTAAATTAAAAAAATGTGTTACTTATAACAACGAAAGAATTACACCATTATTTACAATAAAAAAAGAAGTTATCTCACTATTATTTTCTAATTATCTGGTTTATTGAAAGGACTTTTTCTATTTTATGGTCATTTTAAAATGTGAAATAATAAAATCATAATAATCAATTATATGCTTATTTTTTCTTAAATTTTAACTAATTTAAATAGTTTTCAAAATTAATCTCAAATTATTTTTAAACTTTAAAAAAAAAATAAATCAAACAAGTCCTTAAATTTCTAAAACTATGCTCTATTCCAACCTATTCTATTTTCTAAACATAATAATTTAATTCAAATTAAAAAAAATATCACTATATATTTAAATATTAAGGTAGTTATTTAAATATAAAAAGAAAAATTATACTTACCTCCTCTGAACTAAAACCTTAGTTTTAATATATATACCTATTTTTTTATTTTTTATTTATTTTAATCAAATTATAAAAGGATGTTAGAAAACTCATTTGTGCTTAAAAGATAGTTTGAAGCGAATTTAAAAGGACTTGTTGAAAGATAGAATAAAACGTTCATGATATTAAAAGAGACAAATGAATGATACTCACTGTTCTACTTTACATTTTTATACAAGTCAAATTTTATTAAGTATTAAACTTCTTATGAAATACAAGCTCAAAAAATCAATACAAAGTTAAAAACTACTTGCAGCTTCAATGTATAATTTTATTTAATGGATAAACAAAAACCTACTTTTGATTGTTAGTATGCAAGCATTTTCTAACCATTTCTGGGTTTCAGTGAGGTATTTTTTCTCAAAATATCATGGTAATTTAACTCTCATTTTACCATTTAACTATACGATAATTTATGTATTAATTGATTTTAAATTATTTTTTTATGATTGAATTATATTATATTAATATACCATAATTTATATATTAATTGATTTTAAATTACTTTTTTTATGATTGAATTATATTATACTAATATATGATTGTTGAGAGTTATTTTGTGGATAATAATTTTGATTATATCCATTATTATCAAACTCATGAGTCAATTCGCTCATTTGGATGAGTTAATAAATTATGATATTAATGATGAGTTAACTCGTGATCCAACTAGTTTTAAAATAAATTTAGAATCAAACTCGATAAATTCAAAATAAACTCACGAATTATAAACAAGTCATCGAATTAGAAAGAGAAGGAACAATTAAATTTTCTCCCACAATCCTTGTTTATTTTCATAGGTTCATATTCTTGATCATAATGCTTCCTTGGTCTCTTCCCTCTACTCGTACATCTATTTTCTCTTGTTACATAATAGTTACATCACGCATCTCTCCTAGTAATTGTGTGTCTGAC